TTACGAATTTGATCGAGCGTCTGCAGGACTAAACCACGTCGAGTTTCATATCTGTAATTTCAAGCCAAACTCGGCGCGTGGCTCGTTGGTCTAGGGGTATGATTCTCGCTTCGGGTGCGAGAGGTCCCGGGTTCAACTCCCGGACGAGCCCGGTTTTGCAAATGATGTAGTTAGTTGTGACTTGATATATATATTCGGTGTATAAGTTATTTTTGGCAGGAATTCCTTTTATCATCTGAACCTTGAAAGTTGCCGTAATTGACCAATTTCGTCGCCATGCTCATAATTTCACAGTTGGGTTGTTTTACTGTGGTTGTTACATCAGAAGACCCAAGATTCCGGATTGAACATTTATTGAAAACAGCAAAAAAGTAGCAGTAGCATACACAGATAAAAACAGCCAACCTTAAGATTTGCAAATGACGACGAGAGCGAATTATATTTCCCTCGTCATTCGTGGGTGATCGAGCATGCCAAAGGCGGGAACCTGAAATACTTCTATAAAAATGGCTAGGATGGATCTTTGCAAGCATTTCCTAAAATGTGCTTTCAATAGCTTTGCCAAACCATTGATGACTACATAAGGTATCAATGGCCAAACCTATCAATACGGTTCAAGGAATATATTTATTTTTCTTATTATGAAAATGTATTGCGCTCTTCATTTTTTTTTTATTAATATTTTTTGCCTCGATTTATTATTACCTTCAAGTTCATCTCGATAAATATTCAACTAACACAGATAATAAATATTCCACTTCGTTATGGACAAATAACTTGGCAACTACATACACGCAACAATCATACTATTAATCATATATCTTTAGTCGTTGCTTTTACACATAATTTGATGATTAAGGCGAGCATAGCAACAAACGTACCAATGTTTCTGACTGATAAGGCATCACCGATTCACTGCGTCTCAAGCACTCGTCTTTCCATAGCACCCAATAAATATATCCTTGTGTGTCTATGGGTAGCTCGGATCAGAATGTCTTTGGAATCCGTTGCTAAAGTCTATGAACCTTTCCCCGAGCATCAACTTCCTTGTTTACTTCATGACATTCGCCAATCAGCAAGATGCAAAAAGTGACGTAACAATGCTCCTTTTTCGCATCCGCTCAGACACTTTTCTCACTCAGACTTATTTGCAAGGGTGGTCGTAAACATTACCTCGTTTTCGCGTTTTGAACCTCATTCGTTAGTTTTCAGTTGTGTTTCGGAAATTTAAATATGAATCAGATAATTCAATGATAACTCAGTCTAAAGACTCAAGCACGTAATTTAAAGGCAATTCAATATACACAGTGCCCAAATAGGTGCTCCGAAAGTAAGTGCACCAAGATACAACCTGAACCCTGACCCGGTACACATACTTTGTTCAGGTTGTGCGCCATCTTGGTGCACGTATTCCGGGAACACCCCCAAATATATATATATACATATATTTCTAAAGTGAGATCTTTGAGATGAGCAAAATATAAAATGAAGATGGGGAAAAATCTAATTTTCACAATGCAAATATCTATGTTTTTGGAAATTTCATTTCCGAGTACTTCAGCTATACCTGAATTTAACATTTCAATTCTATTATTCTACCTTTTTATAAATATGAGTTTTAAAATTCGGCTTTCTTTCTTTATTGCGTGATAATTGATAATTGCGTGATTATAATTCAACGTTCTGACAAATTAAAGCGCTGAACGAGCTATATCAAGTGCCAGTTCGTTTGTTAAATCTAGTATACTTGAGGCACATGATTCTTTTCGGTCCAAATCAAAATTTGTCGAATCAACGTCCAGTGTTGTAATTCCACGAATGCGATGATTGCAATTGATGGTCGTATAAATCACTGGTGCAGAAGAAAGTTGATTTACGTCATCGTTAGTAGTTTGAAGTATTGATGAAGGGAATCCTCCGTGATCACAATGGGTTTGTTCTGAACTACATGGCGATGGAGGGGTTTTAACAATGTGTATATCTTTTCTATCATCCGGCGCGATGCCACTATCTTTTTGCGAAGCTGTGTCACAGATTGGGGTGATTTCTTCATACGTATTATCTTTACTATCAGGACTGGTATGTGTTTCGTTTTCTTCGTCTGTTGTTTTACCTTCTTGTCTTTGTATATCTGGTTCGTTCTGATTGAGGGCGATTTTGCACGATTCATTTTCAATTTTAGGATCAACTACGTTTGGCGTATTGCCAATCTCAATATTATGTTCGTTATTACGTTTAATCATGCTCAAGTGTCGACGAAGCAAGCAAAACACGGCAAAAATTACCAATAATGTGAATATCACTCCAGTGAGAAAACCAACACCGCCAAACAACCATTCTTGACAGTTTGGAACGAAGCGTTCAGTCGTAACTGGTAAAATTGTTGTTTCATAAGTTGAAACGCTTTCAACTTCTTCTCCAATACCATCTCCTGATGTTATATTTTCCGCAGTATTATAATCAGCTGTGGTGTAAACATACGAAGTAGAAATTGTTCCGTCAGGATTTACAGACTGATCTTGTCCGTCTTGTACTTTAACCCAATTCATTATAGTTATTTAGTGCCTTCTATAAAAAGTACAAATATGGTATTTATAAGCATTGCATTCGTAAAAGACAACTGAAAAGAAACTGAAAATATTTTTATCTAAATGCTCAAAGTCAAAAGCTCCTCAACACACCCTCTGAGTCACACATTTGCTGTCAAGGTACTATATGTTCGAACTATAATCTGATGGTAGCATATTGAAGATACCCAAAACGATGCACATAATATGTCTTAATCCTTCCTCGAGGTTTTCAAAAAAGATTCGGCTATTTCGAATTGCGTGTCGTATTTATGTTAAATATGGTGCGAATCTACATAAATCTTAAAAGGTAAGCAAATAGATCCCCTCACGTCACAGGACAATTTTCACTTTAAAATTAGAAAAATCGATTTTTGTTTATGAACATATTGGCACGCGCACATCAGTATCTCCATATACTAGGTTCAACGGACGGGGTGGGTATCATATTCATACAAAATAACAGATCAGGGTGCTAATTTGGTATGCGATCTCAGCCGTTGGGTGATCAGTGCTTTTAGTTAGGGTTTGAAACTGAATCTTATGAGAATATCTCTATGAGAGTAAACGCCACCACAATTGGTGCCACTCTGGTATGCGTTTGAAATCAAGCTAAGCAGTGAGATCGCATACCAAAGTGACATCCACATTACTATGTAAAATAACGCCAAAGCAGTAAATATCAACATTGCTAAATAATTTTAGCAATCATATAAATGATAAATAACATTTTTTAACATACATAACACGAATTTGTGAATATTTCCTTGTTGCGAACATTTTTAATCACAATGTATGACAGGTTGTTCTGTAGCGTGTGTTGCCTGTTATGACATCTCACGTGTCATTTTTACACGAAAACGAATCCATCGGTTGATATGCAGTCAGAAATAATAACGAATCGTCATTTCAAATATGTGTCTGTTGATATTGAAGCCTTCACGAAATGGGGAAACCGTACGTGTATTGTCTATTACGCTTGAAACAGAAAGTATTCGTGGAATATTTATTTTAACACCCAAAGGCAAACGTGGGCGTACGAGTTGATAATTTTTTGTTGACACACCTGAAGGGTTTAGCTGATAACCATGGCTCTTGCCATCTTGCTGTTCCACACAATACTATATTGGTCAGCCAGATACATCGGCGAACTGCAGGAAATGCACTTATGTAATATTATTGCAAGATATCGGCCGGGATATTTTCAACGTCATTTCGTAATCATCAATCCGTACCCATCCCACACATATGCTCTTTTTAATCAGCATATAGTCAGATCTATAGTTCGTTATTTCCCTAGTCAGACTGGTTTTCAACATACTACAAGCATATTACCAGGCATATGATAAACATATGACCATAAGAATCTTATACTATAAAATCTGGAAAGTTAGTGGTAAAGTATCGAATGATACCGTGTTCTACCAATCTTCCAATTTTTGCGTGATTAATCTAAATAATATAACATTGAATTGTAAATAAAAATATCCTTGTTTCTAAATTGAGATTTCTATTTCGTGCGTCAATATTCATTCTTGTAGAAAGACCCTAAAACCGATTTGCTTTTGTGACATTGTGCAAATAAAATGTGATAAACAGTGTTGATTTAGTCCATCTCTTTGAATATCGGGATTCTCCCTAACAGTACACATTTGTATTGTAAAATTAGTAACCATAAATGACAATAATTTTCCGTTTTCTGCGACAACACAAAATTAGGTATTTGCGAAAGTGGACTAAAATAATATCGATTTTGTTGCTTAAAATTCCCCTGCTGCACGTTAAAAACATGAACTTGCATCCATATGTCACCGCCACAATCCGGGAAATCTTCGACATAGGTTTCGTTTTTGATTTGTGTAAGTTATATCATGAATGATATGAATCTGATAAAAATAAGCACTACCGTATACATAATCCACGGTTCTATATTGTCAAAAAGAAACAGTTTTATGATTCAGGATTTCCTCTTTGTCGTGTGCAGGATATGTGCACAAGAAAACAATGGATGTTGCATTTTGCACTACACGCATGTTTAATATTGTCAATACATAGTTCATATAGTTCCATGAACCTTTCGAATTTTTGCATTTTATTTATTTATCACAAGACGTATTATTAATAGTGTGACATGGGCATAATTTCAGTACTATTCAAATGATCGTAAAGGTTCTAGGAAGTTCTCGGAAACCGCCCAGTCTGTGTATTCTAATTATGTTCTGCTGTTATACGTAAATTTACCTTACGCCCACGGTATGTATTTTGTTTTACATTGCCATATAGTAGAAGGAGCGTCCTATATATTGTGCTATTTGGTGGAGTACATTCATGAAATATGCAGCAACTGATTGTTAGATGTCACTAGCAAAAACCTATTACTGATGTACAAGTTATAATTCTTCAAAATTATATATTCGTTTTAATTACTTTCAGGTCTGCTTTAAACTTACAATTTATAGAATAGGAGCATGAAATTAATGAAAATGAAGCTTTTGTGCATCACGATAACGATGTTTTTTGCGACAGCATTGTCAATGGAAGAGAAAAGTTCTGCTGCCTTGTTTCGTGATGTCTTCAAATTTTTGGTAAAAAATCCTGTTTCATTTTTTTTTTATCATAATTTAATTTTTGGCTAACTAAAAGGAGCTGCAAGTATAGGATTTGCACTAATTGTAGACAGGGATCTAGTTGTGATGTCACTTACAAATTAATTTTTTGAGGGGGAAGTGCAAGGTTCGATATTTTGCAAATCATAATGGATTGATTGGAATAGTTGTAGAATGCCAAAAATAATATGATTTATTTTTGTGTTGTGCGTCTTTATTTAAAAATTTTTATTCCGCAATTATCTATCAGGAAGAGAAAAACGAATTGAGTGAGTTATTCGATATGGAGGATGACGAGATAAGAGACGGAGTCTTGCAACTGTTTCGAGATCACGGATTCGATGAGTCCGATCTCATGGCGGATGGGTTTTTCGGTGGTATCTGGAATATGTTTTTTTCGGGCAGTAAAAGTACCTTTCAAGCAGTCCAACTAGCAAAAACACTCGGCTGTTATCAGGTATGTAAAATACGATGCTCACTGCAGATTCAAAAGAATAAAATTACATCGGAAGAGTGGTATGTAACGAATGAATTTCCACGATTTTATAGTGTGTTTGCTCATTTCTCGATTAAATATAAGATTAGGGTACATTTCAATCATATAACGGTGTTGTGTTCGTTTTTATTCAGGGAAAAAGCGGTTTAATAAGAACAGTAAGATTTGCATTGAAAAAATATAACGAGTACGGATGTTATTGCGGAGGAGGTCAATCACATGGTAAACCACTGGATGATACCGACAGGTAATTTCATGTTACTAAACGGAAACGTTGGTGGTTGTAATGAATATTTTGAAATATTATTTCGATTAGCTGACACGAATAAAGACAGAATTGTTCCGTTTATGCTTTATTTAATAATACAAGAATAATGCTCAGTTCATCCCATATATCAAAAGATCGAACATTAATGTTAATTCTAGTCAAATTGCTTCGTTTTGATAAATAAATGATTTACTTAGAATAACAGAAATATATTTGCATTCAATATTTTGTATGCAGTAAATCGGATGATACTATTTTTTTTTAACAATGTAGGCAATATCAGGACTATTTCCGGCATTTGTATTCACATCGAACGTGGAAACGGTTTATGCTTTATATAATAATACAGCGATAATGCTCAGTTTATCTCATATATATAAAATGATCGAACATTTGTTTTAATAAATAAATGATTTACTTAGAATAACAAAAATATTTGCATTCAATATTTTGCATGCAGTAAATCGGATGCTACTATTTTTTTTTAACAATGTGGGCAATAGCAGGACTATTTCCGACATCTGTATTTACAACGAACGTGGGAGGAGGTGTCGATGTTGGAAAAATATTGCCTGCTATAAAGCCTGCTATTGTTATACACTATAAACATGTACAGGCATTGGCTAACTGGTGTGATTTTAATTTGACAAATCTTTACAAAAGTCACATTTTCAATTTCGATTTCGAACAATTCAGAATTGCAGAATTATCAAAGTGACCAAAAGTCACATTTTCAGTTTTCATATCATCACATTGCCAAATCGAATTCCTAGTGCCCGACATTCACTACACCAAGTTATTGGATACGAAGTGTCCATATGGGTCGTTTTTCTGAATCGTTATTGTTGATGTTGCCAGTCTAGTTAAGCGACTTTTAGTGGCAAAATCGTCTTTCTTTATAAGTAATGAACGAATCGATTTCAAATTAGTAGTATCCAAAGATGGAGATAATCGCCAAAAGATCGGTATTGTTGCTTCAAAGCTGCATTTCTGTTTTATTCACTTTTCAGGTGTTGTAAACTCCACGACGAATGCTATGAAAGAACTATGAAAAAATTCAATATCAACGAAGGATGTGACACATACACGACACAGTACAAAACAACATGCTGCAAAAGTCAGAAAATAACAAAATGTGGAGATGCAGGCCCAAGTAAGAAAAGTCCTAAAATAGGACAAGACATTCTGTCACAAAACGAGATGAAAATATGTAACTAAACAGTAATATCGCTATTTATTTTCTCAGACATTGTTCAATCCAGTTGATGTTTGCTTAGACAAAATATTTTTCTCATCTTGAACTATGCTTTATGATTATGTAGTATCTAAGTAGTATTCATGAAAGAAGTGTGTGAGACTTTTATTTCTGTGACATTCGTCTCATGCAAATTTGATTCGTAATATATTAATATTTAATTTTACCAAGGTGCCGGACGCGGTTTCTGCGACTGTGACCAGGCTATGGCAGTGTGTGTTTCTAAATCTAAAGCTTTAATACAGTATAGACGGACTCTGAAAAATGCCCGAAAACGGAAAGAATGCCGAGTTCCCGGAAAGAAAACGACCCATGCTTCACGATTCTGGGGACTGCTCAAAACCTGCAAAAACATAAGAAGACGCCGCAAGCTACCGACAGAATATCTGTATGTATAATAACTAAACATTTTCAGTTTTTAGGACAAATAAGTATTGTATTTTATTTGCATTTGACGATTTTTTGTAAATCTTGAGAAATAATAAGTGCAATGTTTTGGTCGATATTGTTATTATACTCTCATGATTGTACTATAGATGTCGACTTAATTCTGTTGCCACATTCTACGATAAATAGCTAAATACGATAGCTTTGGTAGTGAAGTATATAAAACGAGATGTATCAGTCCAAAAAAGACAAAGGTTGGCAAATCGACCTCACCACTTGCACCCTACAGCGCAAATGGACTGGGAGCATTTCGCATACAGTCATTGACAAAATTGTAGCTATTGTCTATCGACTGTAAATCTCCTTACTGCGGACGTGCCAAAATGAATATATATAAAAGATATTACTGGTTTTTATAATCGAAATATGTATATTGACTATACCGTTATCTGGGTTTAATGCGACTTTGAAAAAATGTAATCTCTCGCTTTTCAACATTTGTGCAATATAGCATTCATTTTGATTGTGGGGAAACAGTAAACTGGGGAACTGCAGTCGAAGGTACGTTTGCTGCACAGCTGTATGTTATAATTTTTTTAGATAGAACATTGTCGAAAGACGGTAGAACATTATTACTTACTATTAACTTTTATATTCAATATGAAGATCGTTACATATCATAATTTTTCACTTTTAGGGGACAAGGCAAATGCCCCCAATCAGCAAGACGCAGACGGAGGTCTAGATGGTGGTAAATTCGTATTTTACTGCGAAACATTTGTATCTTTATAGACACTTGTTTGGCAAACAGAAACTGCTTATGTTAATATTACTCAAGAGTTTTACGTCACTTATCCTCGAAAACCACAGGATAATAATGAGGAAGAGAGAAAGCGAGAGAAAGAAAAGAATAAATACCAAAAACGAAAATTTCGTCGTCAGACATCCATTATAGTTGGTATTAGAGGGGTATTATTAGGTAATTTGGCAATTACAACTTGAACCCCAACGTCAAGTTGTGACTTTCTCAAAAGTTTTAGCGGAAATTTTTTATTTCTACTTTCCTGAATCTATGTAAATTAAAATGACTTTATTCATTGAACTATAAACGTTTAGATCTTAGATAACGATTAAATATTTTTGTTGCAATATATTAAATTGAAATTATTATTATGTAAAGGGTTAATTAAAGGAGTATCAATTATAGGATGGAAAAACTCTAAGATGCCTGAAAATCTCTGTTCAGAGTGCTGAATTCTTTATATATGTGTTTGATTTACCAATTTTCTGTATTCAATAGTAAGTTCAACTTAACACCCTCAAAGTTTTATTTTGAGACTTCAAAAACTTGACAACATAAGAAATAACAAAAGCCGATTGACCTATACTCTCGTTTCCAGTATAAGGAAATGGTTATCGATTTTGGAGGAAATTATAATCCTCCAAACATTCAATCCAAAAGCAAGGAACTAACAACTCTTCATATCCCATCGATATATATTTCCTCATCTTCCATTATTATTTCAGTAAAAACAACTTTTCGTTCCTATTTATGTTTGACAATAAACTTCCATTTGCAATCATCATTATCATTTATTTTATTGCATTCCCAAAAATTACAGTTGTCCAATTTTGTACCAGCCATTTAAAAATACAATCAATGTATTTTGACGAACGAATAAATTGAATTTCTTTAAATCATCAATGGTGTAAACAGATATATAAATGATAAAACTGATCTTACACGGCTTCAAAAAATAATTTGTAAGAGAGAGGATGGTAGAACGTTCCTTGGTGACCATGTGAAAACGGTGGTAAAGGGAAATCTGGATCCTCGGAGATTTTGAAATTTCGAAGTAGTCCCGACAAAACAAGAAAAAGTTCCATCTCAGCTAAATGCATTCCAATGCAATTTCTCGGACCGATTGAGAAAGGAATTACGTGACTATGTTTTGAAAACTTTCCTTCGTCGTCAAGAAATCGTTCAGGTTGAAATTCATTTGGATTGCTGAACGTCTTCGGATCTCGATGAACTTCCCATAGATTTATCATCACCTACAATTAGTATGTTTAGTTATAAGTAAACTTCTGGAAAAATCGGAATTCATAACCATGTTATACTTACTAAAGTGTTTGTTGGAAATGTATACCCGCCCAAAGAAACGATCGCAGTTGTCTTTCGAGGTAACAGAATTGCTATTGGTTTGTGCCGTTGGATTTCATGTATAAATGAACATGTTAGATGCATATTTGATCGATTCTCCATCGAAATCGAACCAGCTGTACCTGGAAGTTGAGCAAATATGGACTTAATCGTTCAATTATCATCGTCTATATATTTATGTATTAAGTTCGACGAGATATATTAGAACTTCTATATTGTAGTCCATAACCTACCGCAATTTGCCCTTATTTCATCTCGCAGACGTTCCTGATATTCTTGATGTTTGGCGAGGTAGAGGAAGCACCACCGTAAAGTTGTAGTTGTGGTTTCTGATCCCGTAATTATTAAATCTCTTATGACAGCATCCAATACTTTTCTCTAAATTATAAATCAGAAAATACTAATCATAATATTGTAGGAAAATATTGCTCTTTACGAAGTACATAGATGTATGACAACTCTGTAGAACCAATCATTCAACATGATCTCTAAAACCGCAAGAGGGCGTTTGGGAGGTTTATATCAGAAACTTTTTATTATTGATTCTGATAGTGCTTATTGATGAATTGTATTGAAGTTGGCCGTCATCCATACTTTATTGCAACCCGTCGATCTTCTGAGAAAAAAATCTTCTTTGACTCATGACTGTTACAGCACGAAAAGCGCATGGTATGGATTTGAGAAAGGGACTGATCATTAAAATATCGTGGCTTGTTAACTGTGGTGTATTATCAAAATGTATTAACACCGTGAAAGGTTCAATTTCTTCTTTATTCATTTTCTTTAGGAAAGCATCGATGAAATCCCGAATGTCGTTCGGGTCGAATGTCTTTATGTGATTTGCAATCGCTGATCTAACGATTTCTACAAAGAAAGAAAGAATGGAATAGCTAGCTTTCAGACAATAGATGGTATCACAGCATCCAATACTTGCACTATATGTTTGTATCACACTTTAAAAATTGTTTTTGTCGTTAGATTTCTATTACTTTTATTTGTATTAAAAATGGGCTTTATGAGATTCGTTTTTTCACGTTGAAGCTTTGTTTGATAACGTCATCAGAATTAAAAGTTGCCCAACGTGTAGCAGTTCAGCGATAGTTTTTTTTGACGAACTGAAGGTAGACTACCGGTACTGTAAAAGATTTAATTTAACAGTTTTGACTTGAAGCATTTGGTATTTTGAATAACGTTAAGTCTGGACACGGGAATCATCATTGTCACGGGATCGGGGAAAATTATAACTGTCACTGTATATCGATAACCTTGTAACGGTGCTGGTAAGTTAGCTGTTTCACAGTTACAGCTTCGTTCAGGATATGATTTTTGGAGTAATTGTGGGTGAATAATTTCGTTTTGGTCTTCGTGTCCTTATATTTGAGTATTGCTCACTTATTATTGCAAAGTGAGGCTATTCTTCGGAATTCATCGTAAATATATCAGAAACCTTGCAGCTGTTTAAATAATAAATCTAAATTAATACCTTTTGTGATTTTTACGTGCTCAAATGTGTCTTGCAAAACTTTTGAAAAACCTGGTAAATAACGAAGCAGAGGAAAAAATTGTATCTTTTGCAACCGGCCGTTGTTTTCGCCAAATCTGTTTATAACGAAAAGGATTTTACATAACCGAAATCATCAAAACAAGAAAGTTGTAAAATAAATGCACAGTGACTCTAGACACAGCTATACTCTACAAAGTCAGATGATAGTATTTCTGGATTGGAGAAATGCTGATCGAAAGTGATAGATTGTCTAACGATTGGAAGAAATCATCAAATGACTTTTTATTGATGATTTAATATAAAAATATAATGCATACCGTTTTCTACTCATGTGCAACATTGTTTTGAAAGGCTCGCTTTCATAATCGACCCTATTTCCACTGACTATACTCATTATTATATTGATCGCAGCATTTCCAAGGTGATTCTGAAAAGTTGAATCCATTGAAAAAAAATATCGGACAATTATTTAAAGGTTGATAAGGATTAAATCACACTAAATCGGCAATGTAAACGGTTGTTTGTGGCATGGTAACTTACAGTGACGTCGAAGGATCTTCCATGTTTAGACATTATAATTTCTGATAAAAATCTAACTTCTTCATTCACACGAGCTTCCATACTTCGCTTGCCAACACCAAATCTGAAAGTAGGTGGAATGGAATTGAAATAGCACGTTGTTCTGACAGTCATATTTTTAAATAGTAATTCGTGTAGACAAAAATATAGAATATTGATGGAATTCTTTACCTTTTCCAAAAAAGCGAATGCTAAAAAACTCGCAGAAGGGCGTCTTGATAAAGTTTTAATACAAATCTTAAGCTCTCAACAATTCATTTGAGCATCTTTTTTTGATCCTAATATATCAGCAATTAGTATCACATATATTCACCCTTTTAGTGTCGTTATCCCAAATTTTCGTAGACGTCTATAACTGTCGGAATGAGGTCGATAAACAAAGCCCAGATCTCCCCCAAACGAGCGTATAATAGCCGAAGCACTTTTGCCGGAGAGCGCGTCTCCCTTTTTCAATAAAGCCTGGAATGATGAGAATAGAACTCAGAATAGTTTGTTTTTTATTTATATCGAGTCGAAAAAAAGGGATGATACGGTCGATAAACAAAGCCCAGATCTCCCCCAAACCAACGTATAATAGGCGAAGCATTTTTGCCGAAGAGCGCGTCTCCCTTTTTCAATAAAGCCTAGAATGATGAGAATAGAATTCATATTAGTTTGTTTTTTATTTATATCGAGTTGATAAAAAAGAATGATACTGTCAAAATTTAATGTTAACCCACCTCATGAATTATATCGAAATCGTTCAAAACTACATATGTTTTTCTTCCAAGGGGTAGAGTATAAATTGAACCGTATTCTTTTCTCAGCTTCGCAAGAGTATCTTGTGGTTTCTTGCCCATGAATGGAATATATCCCAGCAATGGTAATCCTGTTGGACCAGGTGGAATTCCAGACTTCCGACTGGTACGCCACCACACCAATATAGTGATTAGAACAACTACTGCACAGCTTTTAACAGTTAATAAAATATCGACCGTGTATTGCATCGTGACTTATTAACTGTAGGTATAAGAATAAATTTGAAATAATCAAGATTGTCATATATATTGTATAGACACATACATTTCAATACGGATCAGGTAATCTTAGAACAAATTTAGTTTTCACATAACTACTATAATATATATTGCTTCAAGGTTCAATATAAAATTTTATAAGTAACAAGAGAGCAATGCTTAACTATATGAAAACGAAGGACGACATATCACACAGAAATTTAAAGTCAAAAACAAGCCCACAGAAATTTTCGAAATAAATAAAAGTATGAGCCTTCTAGCGACTCTCTACTGATAATTTCAGACCAATTGTTTCAATAGTTAATGAGAAAAGCTATTTTTTCACGACAACAACAAGAAAAATACAAAATGACAAAACGATTTATAGTTTCATTTCGTGTCCAATCAATTCATACGTACAATGCTGTTTATACAATACGTCATTGATTGTCTACTACTCAGCCAAAGCAAAATATCCGCATAAGATTGAAAGAATTTTCTAGGTCAGGGGTGTATAACATTGTGTAGCCGGCGCATTACGTTTTGGTATAAGTTTGACAGTGTGATTTAGGTATTTTTATTTTCTGCTCAATTACAAAATGTTAGATTTCCTTTAATTTAATGCATAAAAGATTGAGTCAAGTCTTGCTTTTGGTAGATAAAAAAACATATGTTGACGAATACTCACTCCTCTTGGCATTATCTATCTTCAGAGTCTGGCTACATATATGATATATGTGTGTGTGCTGCCTCGATTATGCAAAAATCTATCTCCAATTTGGAATTAAAAGAATTCTTTTCTCTGCTGACAATATTCTTTTCCTTTTTGAAGTGATATTTGCAACTTTTATACGGTTCATGATACCGGTAATTTATTTCCCATCCGAAATCAAAAAACATAGCTACTTCTTTGGTTTGTCGTAACAGTCAAGCGCCAAAATGTAAGCAAGTGTAACAATGATACTAAGTTTTATCTAAATTCTAGTTAATTAATAACCAATACCTCCGTATGCGGGGGTGACCAACGCTTCGCTCGAACACGTTCCTGGAACGTCGTGATAACCAGCAAAGTCGATATTAATATTTGTTTTGCACGTTGGAGTTGGACGACCGCAGCAAATAGGCAACATGCATTGCAGCTGGCTTCCGGAAGTTATGTATTAGATTCTCGTATAGAGGATGTCATGTTAATGTAGCTCACGTAGTGACATGTGGTTATACATTTTCTGAAATAAAGGAACCTGCTGTTTAAGAGTTCGATAGACTGGACGTTATAGGTATCCTTGCCTTGTGCCTATTTTGCAGTTGAAAAACGCGATAGCTCGACGGCAGATTTTGCCTTCGACGGTCGCAGGTTGTGCACCGCTGTTTTTCAGGTAAAATTTAACTTATTGACTCATTTTAGAGTGAAGTAAGAGATGATATATTCCTCGTACTCATGTTGCAATATATAAAATGATAATTACTTAATTTGGCAAGGCTCTACGAGAGCATTATGTATCAATTATGGTGACCGTACATTTGAACCCATGCGTATATCCACGGGTTCAATTTATATGCGGGTGCTAAAACCCATGGGTTAGGGTTAGTATGGGTTTAACTATCCGTGAAACAAAAAAATTCCATAGGTGCAATAGCATACAGGTGCAAATGTCATGGGTTCAAATGTACGTGGGTTCAAATGTACGTGGGTTCAAATGTAATGGAACCATCAATTATAATTGGATGAATTGCACGAATGCTATTTAAACGAAAGATTTTGAATCCAATAGTGAATTCAATTCAACGGCGCGAAGTTTTCTTTTAAACTTGACAGCACATAATAAAGCCGATCGAAAAATTTCCTCCACAAATATCTAGATTGTTATACAGAGAGAATAGTTTTACGGTGTGCCAAATCGTGACCAAATTCTGGTGGAGATTGGTATCCTTCAAAATATTCAATTTTATAAAAGCCAAAAATCAACAATATATTCGCAAGAAGCTAGCTCTTCTTATTCCATCCTATAATATTTATCGTCACTCACGATCAATCATTTTAACAGAAGCGACTTTTTAAAGTTTATAAGGGTTTGACATTAAACCCCTATTGCATTCATTATTGTCATTTATTTTATTGCATTTACATAGAAACATTCAGCAAAATAAATCCAAAACGCCAACTAAATATTTGTTGTGTTATCAATTTACGCTACTTTTTTACATGCAACATATAAATAAATGATTAGTACAGACAACTGGGTAAATATTACAGTCTATATTATGTTAATAATTTAGAGAAAAAAACTTCAGGTAGTATTTTCGACAGTGCTGATAAATTTTTGTACCAGCCAATTAAAAAACAATGAATGTATGACAAATGAATAAATTGCATTTCTTCAAAATCAATGTTGTGGACACACATATGATGAAACCGATCCTACTACTCGACCTCAAAAGATAATTTGTAAGGGAGAGGGTGATACAACATTCCATAGTGACCCTGTGTAAACGAAGGTAATGGATATTTTGGATCCTCGGAGATTTTGAAATTTCGAAGAAGTCCCGACAAAATAACAAAAAGTTCCATTTCCGCTAAATGCATCCCAATACAATTTCTCGGACCGATTGAGAAAGGAATCACGTGACTATGTTTTGAAAACTTTCCCTCGTTGTCGAGAAATCGTTCAGGTTGAAGTTCATTTGGATTGTTGAATGTCTTCGGATCTCGATGAACTTCCCATAGGTTTATCATCATCTACAACAAGATGAAAATGTTCAGATATATCGATACAAAGGTCAGATGAGTAACGGCAGTCACTGTATCCTTATGTTCAAATATATGTACACAAAGACCAAAACGAAATATTGGGGATTTGCAAAAAACGAATAGAGTCTACGGAAATTTTAAATAAATAAAAATAATAGCCTTCCAGCGAAAAATACAGCCTTAAACTATTGGAAATTTCCAAGCAATTGGTCCGTTAGTTAATAAAACAAGCGATTTTCTCATTGTAGACTACCGGTACCGCAGTAATTACAACTAACGCAAACGCGGAACCGCCACAAAGTGCGCAATTTTGGATGACTTCGTGTCACACAAAATCAGCTATTTCAGATAAATTAAAGTAATAGCCTTCTAGCGAAAAAGACGATCTATAACTACTGAAGATTTCCAAGCAACTGGTCCGGTAGTTAATGAAAAAGTGATTTTCTCATAGCAACAAGGAGAAAAATACCAACAAGAACACCACCAACAACATAACGACAAAACGATCCATATGTACATTTCGTGTTCAGTAAGATGTTAAGTGACTTGTAGATGACTTGCAACTGTGGATTATGAATTATGAGTTAGTTCAACTTGGATTTAGTAAAGTTATAAATCAACTTCGCTTTGCGAAAACCGAATTCATAATCATGTTATACTTACTAAAGTATTTGTTGGAAAAGTGTATCCGCCTAAAGAAACGATTTCAGTGGTTTTTCGAGGTAACAAAATTGCTAGAGGTTTGTATCGTTGGACTTCATGTATAAATGAACTTGTTAGATGCATATTTGATCGATTTTCCATTGAAATCGGACCAGCTGTGCCTGAAAAATTGAAATTTGATTTCAGTTATTATCGCTTATTTATCACGCTTAGATACCGAACAGAATGACAATAAACAATATGGTGAATAACATATGATCACCGACATATTTGTTCCAAAATTTTATTTATGCATTATTATAAGTCAGCGACGTATTGCTTTGGGGTCTTAAACATGGAACGGCAAAATTAGGAAGACCTTTCAAGACATACTTTGCGCTATTACAGAAGACACCGCGTCACGCTAATAACCGAATTGCGTAAGTCATTTTTAGCAGTTTCGACAAAAACGTAAAAAACTTCCTAATCAAATTGTTATGCCATTGAGAGTCAATAATTTGCCATGGTTCAATTTTTTGATCGTAGCCGGATTTAAGTTAATTTGTATGATGCAGTTAAGTCACGTCATAATGGCGCACTGTGACTTAGACAGAAATGTGTCTATGACTTGGGGACTTACGCAATTTTGCAACTTTACTATATGCACCAATTCTGAAAACTAAACATTTCAAAAACGAATGTAATTCTCAGTATCTACAATGTCTAATCCCCGAAATAGCTAATCAGTTTCAATTACATTATTTTTTATGTTTAAAAATATATATTTCATCAATATAATACGTTCTGCACACCCATCGAAATAAGACTGAGATTAAATATAAAGAATAAAACAGCAATGTCCCCAATATAAAAGCCAACCAAGATGAATTGGACTCGGACAGTGAATATCACAAGTGCACGTCTTCCTATACTGTAGTATAAATTGAAATTAATACGCGCTAAGCTAGAATCCGAGATGCAAAAACTCGAAAATACTTAGCCGAGGTTATTGTGCTTTTGTGACGTCACAATAGTCATGTGGTAACAATGATAATTCATTATGACGAAACAATTGCACAAATGTGCATGTCATACTAAATCTCGATTTTAATGGGTTTCGAAATTCTTAAAATAAAATCTGAGTTAACAGACAGGTGCGCAGCATTACATAAATACCTATTTTATAAAAAAAACTCAAAATCGCCAAAAATGACTTACGCAATTTGGTTATTAGCGTGACGCACTGGTTACTTATCGATCTTAAGAAATTTAAAAGTTACGTTTTACGTTTACTGCGGAATACAATTTCTAAAAATTTGGCGAATTTCATGGAAGAGCAAAAATAACAAAGTTAAGTTGAATACTTTCCATTATATACGACCTACCGCAATGAGTCTTTATTTCATCTCGTAGACGTTTCTGATATTCTTGATGTTTGGCGAGGTAGAGTAAGCACCAACGTAAAGCTGTAGTTGTGGTTTCTGATCCAGCGTTGAATAAATCTCGTATGACAGCATCTAATATCTCTCTCTGTATGATAGATAAAATATAATAATAGTGACAGACGCGGTATAGACTATGAAGCAAAATATTGTTTGATGAGAAAGACGCAGTAGTATGACAGTATGACAAATTACTCTTCATGTAGTATACTTATTACGTAATTTTTTAAATAAACTTGATTAACTTCTTAGTCAGAATTATTATGCTGATAATTTAATGAAGCAATTTTTACCGAAGTATTACAAATTTAGAATAAAATTATGTAGTAGTTCACTTATTTGCGTTTCCTGATTTCTGTAATAATTTTCCAGTGTGTTTATATTCAATACCAGGTTTCATTGTCGATATTGACTATGGGCGTTTCAGTCTAACTTCGACCTTATAAGGGAAACTTCATGCACAATATATACATAGCATATGCATCTGTTACAACGTCGATAAACCAAAATGCCATGCGATGATAAGTAAATGACCAGGAAAGTAGTCTGTGTCCGAAACCGTGGTATTATGCATATGGAAATTGTATGCTATTAAAACGTTTTTACATACCGTGAAAGGTTGAGTTTCTTCTTTTTTCATTTCCTTCAAAAAAGCATCGATGAAATCTCGAATGTCGTTTGGGTCGAATGTCTTTATATGATTTTCAATCGTTGATCTTACGATTCCTACAAAGAAAGTATGGAATAGCTAAAAAAACATGTCAAGTTTCAAACAATTTTTATAGGACATAACGCTGGTGGAACTATCTTGACAACATATTTTCGGCATACCAGGTTGAAATAAAGACTTTTGAATCTAGTTCGTTTCATTTCAACCAATCTCACCGAGCGTGTTTAAAATTTGTGATTATATTTCGACCAAATCATAAAGCATTACTTCAAATATTTTAAAATTGTTTTATAATTTACTATTTACATAAATACAGGGCTTTTCTAGCGATTCTAATCATTGCACACATACCGATCGATAGTTCAGCCTTTTAGCATCATACCACGAAAGGAAATTTTCGTGAAAAGAAATAAGGCAGCAATTAGAATTAATACCTTTTGTAACTTTTACTTGCTCAATTGTGTCTTGAAAAACTTTTGAATACCCTGGTAGATAACGGAGTAGAGGAAAAAATTGTATCTTTTGCATCCGACCGCTGTTTTCGCCAAATCTGTTAAACACAATATAAATTAAAACCATAAAACAACAATTAAGATGCAGCAGAATAACAGCAATCATATTCACTTTGCAAAGTATAGTAATTTTGTTTTTCCTGGATTGAAAGTGAAGAACTGCACATCGAAAACGAGAGTTTCTGTGAATTATGGAAATTACTATAAAAACTTTTTCATAGTTGATGATTTCAAATGAATACTTCTTACCTTTTTGCATTCATATCCAACATTGTTTTGAAAGGCTCGCTTTCGTAATCTACCCTATTTCCACTGACTATACTCATTATTATATTGATCGCAGCGTTTCCAAGATGATTCTGAAAAATAAAGTTGAATCCACTGAAAAGAATTCTGTAACAATCATTTAAATATAGTATATTTAGAACTTGATTCAATTTGTAAAACTCAGAATATAATTGGGCATACAGCAATAACACGAACGAGAAAATGCATGATGCTTTATTTTTGATATTGAAATTTCAAAGAATCCGAAACTATATAAAGATACTGTGCACTTCAAGAGTCCGACTGTACATTAACGCAAATGTATTTTTGTAACGTTTCGTCTGACCAAAATCAGACTTCTTCTGACAAGCAGTTTACAACAATGACAAGAAAAAACAATCTTGCGGTTTTTGTTCATGCGCATGATTGTTATTTTATTGTTGTTGGTGTAACCTGCTTGTCCGAAGAATATATCTACTATAGTTTGTACTAAGTATATGGGAGATCCGGACGATTGTTCGAGGAATGGTCACTTACGGTGACATCAAAGGATCGTCCATGTTTAGACATAATAATTTCTGATAAATATCTAACTTCTTCATTCACACGATCTTCCATGCTTCGCTTCCCAACACCAAATCTAATGGTAGAAGGAAAGAAAATAACAAAATACGTAATGAATACGGTCTTATTTCTAAATAGCTCTCCGATTGTAGATTCTCGATAAAGGTTGCTGGTTTGAACATTCAACTGATTTAACTTGGTACTACTTATTTCTGGGTGTTTACTCACATCGCGATTATTGGCTGATTATGCTATTGCTTCATGTTATGGTTAAAACTGTCTAGTGCTTTAGTCATTGGGTTTGAATTATATATATATTTCTTTCTTGCTCGTACTTATTTTAATGGTTATCTATTATTGTTTGTCATGTCACTGTGTCCGACTGAAATTTAGATTAAAACAATTTGGGAGAAATCTGTTCGTTTCATTTCGGCATATTAGTTAAAGAGACATAGTGGGTAAGGATAATTCGTCAATTGGCAGAAATCCGAATTATTTCTTAATATTATCCAGAAGTGGCCAACCTTCTTCCGACCGAAAAATCTTCAAAATAGATCGCGATCGACTGATCGGTAATAAGGTCATACACAAAAACGAATGGGCACTGAATGTGCAGATAACTGCACACGCATACAAAAAATTCCCCCGCTGCCAATAAGAAGTCTTTGTGGGCACATTATTATTAAAATCGACACAAAATTTGTATTTTTTATGTCCCATGTAAGTTGTTGATTTGATTATTTAATTGTACCCGGAGTAAATGTTTCGTTATTTATTTAAGATTTATTTAAATCATACAATTCAGATAAAGGATGTGCCTAATTTTTAGTCGTAAGTGTTAAAAATTCTGCAAGAAATCTTCTATGTATTATCCAAACAGCGAAAAATAAATATTCTCTGACCATGAATGTTACATGACTTCAGTATCTAATTTACAATTTCCTCCAAACGCGATCCTTCGCTTGCTTAGAATTAGAACAAATTGGGCATTTGATCCACTGCTACCATTGTGAATTAAATTTATCCTTCAATTCATCACTTAATTTATTACTCTTGGAGTGAGACAATAACTCTCGCATACTGCAAGTTATTGTGGGATCTTTTGTCAGTCCAGAGACTCCAGACGCGCAATATTCGGCACTTCCTTTTTAAACCTTGGCAGCGGAAAAGCTAGCATTTGTTACGTAATAATATGCTCTATCGGGCTTGCCCAGACTTAAATACTGTATGTGTAGGCCTATATTGTATTTTAAGTACTGTATTCTTCTTATTGTAAAACACACAACTGTTTCGAGGCAATTTTTGGGGTATTTCAATAAAAGTCACGCAACATCAGACGCGATCGACTGCTCGAGACGTGGCGATCGCGATCGACGTGTTGACCACCTGGTCAAGAAATGTCATGTCATACAGCAATAAAACGAACGAGAAAATACATGATGCATTCTCTTTCAGATTGAAATTTCAAAAATTCTGAAACTATATAAAGATACTATGCACTTCAAGATTCCGACTGTACACTAACGCAAATGTATTTCTGTAACGTTTCGTCTGACCAAAATCAGACTTCCTCAGACAAGCAGTTTACAACAATGACAAGAAAAAAACAATCTTGAGGTTTTTGTTCATGCGCATAATTGTTATTTTCTTGTTGTTGGTGTAACCTGCTTGTCTGAAGAATATATCTACTATAGTTTGTACTAAGTATATGGGAGATCCGGACGATTGTTCGAGGAATGGTCACTTACGGTGACATCAAAGGATCGTCCATGTTTAGACATTATAATTTCTGATAAATATCTAACTTCTTCATTCACACGATCTTCCATGCTTCGCTTCCCAACACCAAATCTAATGGTAGAAGGAAAGAAAATAACAAAATACGTAATGAATACGGTCTTATTTCTAAATAGCTCTCCGATTGTAGATTCTCGATAAAGGTTGCTGGGTTTGAACATTCAACTGATTTAACTTGGTACTACTTATTTCTGGGTGTTTACTCACATCGCGATTATTGGCTGATTATGCTATTGCTTCATGTTATGGTTAAAACTGTCTAGTGCTTTAGTCATTGGGTTTGAATTATATATATATTTCTTTCTTGCTCGTACTCATTTTAATGGGTATCTATTATTGTTTGTCATGTCACTGTGTCCGACTGAAATTTAGATCAAAACAATTTGGGAGAAATCTGTTCGTTTTATTCCGGCATTTTAGTTAAAGAGACATAGTAGGCAAGAATAATTTGTCAATTGGCAGAAATCCCAATTATTTCTTAATATTTTCCAGAAGTGGCCAACCTTCTTTCGACCGAAAAATCTTCAAAATAGATCGCGATCGACCGATCGGTAATAAGGTCCTACACAAAAACGAATGGGCACTGAATGTGCAGATAACTGAACACGCATACAAAAACATTCCCCCGCTGCCAATAAGAAGTCTTTGTGGGCACATTATTATTAAAATCGACACAAAATTTGTATTTTTTATGTTCCATGGAAATTGTTGATTTGATTATTTAATTGTACCCGGAGTAAATGTTTTGTTATTTATTTAAGATTTATTTAAATCATACAATTCAGATAAAGGATTTAGGATGCGCCTAATTTTTAGTCGTAAGTGTTGAAAATTCTTCAAGAAACCTTCTATGTATTATCTAAACAGCACAAAATATATATTCTTAGACCATGAATGTTACCTGACTTCAGTATCTAATTTATAATTTCCTCCCAACGCAATCCTTCGCTTGCTTAGAATTAGAACAAATTGGGCATTTTGATGCCACTGCTACCATTGTGAATAAATTTTTCAAAAACATGCATTTGTTACGTAATAATATTTTGTTATATCGGGATTGCCCAGACTTAAATACTGTATGTGTATGTTGTATTTTGCGCCTGTAACGTACTGTATTCTTCCTGTTGTAAAACACACAACTGTTTCGAGGTAATTTTTGAGGAATTTCAATAATAGTCACTCAACATCAGACGCGATCGTCTGCTCGAGACGTGGCGATCGCGATCGACGTGTTGACCACCCCTGGTCTATTCTATGCAATGTACAGGAGAGCAGGAATGGGGCCGGATTAGGTTGAAATTCAACGGAGACAAAAACATGTTGAATTAGGCTTATTTGCATTACAAGTGCCAAAAAAAAAAAGTTTGATAACGCTTCATTACAATCGTAAGATTTCTACAATCTGGGGCAATGTCAGAATATTTTCAATTTTAATATGTCAGGAATTTGAATTTACTTACAATAACACCGCTTAGGCAGAAGAGTTTAGTGGTAATCTTACCCTTTTAGTGTTGTTATACCGAATTTTCGTAAACGTCTATAACTGTTGGAATAACTTCGCCATACGTAGCCCATATCTCCACCAAACCAACGTATTATAGGCGAAGGATCTTTATCGGAGATTGCGTTTCCCTTTTTCATCAAAGCCTAAAATGACCATGAAATAAAATTTATAATAGTTTGTTGTTTAATTTAAGTTTAATTTAATTTATTTTGATTTCAAATTTTATTATTAATTAACTCACCTCATGAATTGTATCGAAATCATTTAAAACTACAAATGTTCTGCTTCCAAGAGGTAGAGTATAAATTGAACCGTATTGTTTTCTAAGCTTCGCCAAAGTATCTTGAGGTTTCTTGCCCATAAATGGAATATATCCTAACAGTGGCAATCCTGTCGGTCCAGGTGGAGGACCGGACTTCCGATTACTGCGCCACCACACAAAAACGGTGACTAGAACAAATATTGCACAGCTTTTAACTGCTAATAAAATATCGACCGTGTATTGCATCTTTTATTGATATTTTTCTCTGTTTCTCTGTAGGAATAAGAATAAATATAAAGTAAACTGAGTGTTTTTTTTAAATTACATATATATATATATATATATCGATAAGTGTCCGGGTATATTGGTTCTGTCTTTGGTGGTTTTGTCTTCCACATAAGCAATATAAATATTATATTTCTTCAAGCCTCAGTACAAATTATATAAAATTATCGTATACATACTATGCTGCAATAGAGCCTTGTGAGGTTCTCACTCAGTTGTAGGAAACAGTGTCATATAGGATTAAAAAGAAGTTTTTCCAAGGCAGGGGTTCCCAGGGCTTTTTCAGGACGATCCCAAAGACAACTTACAAGTGTCCAGTATAATATATGTATTTTTCACGAAACTTTAGAGCTTCTTACAATGTAAATGTTGACTTATTTTGCACCGCACTTTCACACACTTCCCTGTGTAATGTTACGCTCAATATACCCAATTTAATTTCAGTCTGTACACTAATATGGCATAGGTATAGAATTAAAGGAGCGGTATTTAGGGACACGATACTCTAATTAACATTAAAAGGGTAACTGAATGATCCTGTCATTTTAATGTGTTCGTGATTACTGAAACTCAATGATATTCGTCCCCAGACGAAATAGATTTGAATGCAAACTCAAGGAAATTATATCCACGATCTGAAGCGAAGGAAAGTTCATTTTTGACACCGCCCTATTACTGATACCATTGTTATACTGGTACAGATTTGATAGAATCTAATTGTAATTCTAGGACAGACATGGGCAAAGTACGGCCCGCGGGCCAAATCCGGCCCGCTAGGTAAGGGAATTTGGAACACAACCAAACTGAAACCAAACTTTGATGCTTTACTTAGACATAGCTAAAAGAATTTGTTGAGATTGGGTTAAATTTAGTTTTGACATGAGGTTTGAGGTTTATTGTTTTTCACTGTTGCTTTTGTAACACTGTAAACATTGTTCATAAAATGCAACTCTTCACGTCATACTTACATGGCCCGCCAGTCTAGGTGTGCAAAATTCTTGGCCCCTGATCCAAAAACCGTGCCCTGCTTTAGAACGTTAACAAGTATTTATACAAAAATACTCCTTGCACTACTCAGCTCAATTTCACGACAACCTATTTATATCAAATCTTTTTTTTTGTCAAATTTACAATAGATACAAATTCACGATTTTAACAAACATTGCGCTCGAATCTGTGCCATACCCTTTCTAAATAAACTACATCGTCGTTCTGAAACTTGAAATGTTTAATATTGATCTCTTATTGCACCTTTCGAAAGTTGCTTGTAGTTTGATGCAAACTAATTTGTGTCTGGCATCAATTTCTGTACCATCAATAAAGTAAAAACTTGGACTCTCTCCCAGTGTTTAAAACTTAATCTTTCACGCAATCTTGTCAATGACTTGTCGACATCGTAGAGTTTATAACTATAAAAATGAGTAATGTCAAATGACTACACTTTTAGCTCTAAATCCAAGTTATGTAACGTAACAAGCCCGGGTACAGACGATATCAGAAATTACACCACTGTCTGATTTCCGCCAACTGCGATAAACTATGAGCATACACGCTTGGAATAAATTATCAATCGTTTGCATGTATGACGTCATTTCCGTTTTGAGTAACGTCGTGCTTAGACGAATAGATTTATGACCTTTGGTCCTACAAAGATTTTGACATGATGCATAAATGATTTATGTACGAATCCAAATTTGTCAAATATACAATTATTTTCTAAAACGCAACAGGTATATACATAATGCAGGCACGTACATCAACAATTACCAACGAAGCGGATTTGTCGCATGTTTAGAATAAAGGCATCTAAATTAATGGCTTGGTAGATTTTGAAACTGACGTCATTCGTCTTGTAGAAAGCAAAATACCACCTATTTATGCACTTACAATTAAACGATTACAACTATATAGTAGCAATTTTAAGTGGAATTGCGAATCGGGACATACTTCACATACAATTTGATTAAATTGTATTGGTCAACACATGATACATTTTGAACTGAGGAAAGCTATTTTCGGACAAACTAAATCGAAGCAACCTCAGAATTTCATTTTCAGAACTTTAATTTGGGTTTCACGCCACTCGTTGTCGCTATTTAACCAGTCCAATGGACAACTAATATCCAGTTACAGCTGGTTGTTATTACTTCTGGTCACTTCGTTGCCCAATACATAAGTAATATATCACAGAAAAAATTTCGTGCTCAGCTCAACCTAGAAAAATTGACTACGCTAGAGTAACTTAGCTTACTTAGCGTGCCCGTGTAACACTCGTGCTGTGAAAAGATATCAAATTGAACAGATATAGTGCCGAATACTTAATTTTTGCTATTCTACTTTTCGTTGTTATCCACAGAAAATATGGGACGTGTCTTATCCCACGAGAATGACAACACGGGCCGCAATGATATTGAAGACTTATATATATATATATAATATATAAGTCATGATTGATAATACGCAACCGCACCAGGTGAGATATAACTTGTCTCGGAGATGGCATGTACAGAACTTGAATGAACTTCTTCTGTCAAATGCGTGCAAAATTGCGATTATATTTCACGGCATGCAAGTCACTTCGTCTTAAGATTTAACACCATTGTCTCCTATTATTTTAGAAATTGTTACTTCACACAATCACGCTGAACTGCGGATATTTAAATCAGCATTGTTACTGCCGTGGAGGTATGAGGTCGAAATAATGTTTGATACCCCAGCATTAAGATCAATGGAATGCTGAAATTCGTTTGGTTACTGTACAGATTTCGACACAGCAATAATGTATATATTGTATTTCTGCAATTTCATCTATAGAAGAATGGTATAGAAATTGTCATATATTGTTGAAATTTGTTATGAAAGTTATGAAAGTTATGAAAGTGCTACTCAATTGCTCTATTTCTTAAAAAAGTTGGTGCAAATCATCTAGGTTATTTAATAACAGAGTAAGATTCACAAAATTCTAGACATGTACATACAGTTTCATTCTTCAAAACAAATAATTCGAACGAATATTACATTGTATATTTTTAATTAGGTGGTACGTGTATCGTAATTCTCGAACAAGTTTTCAGAATAATCTTGTCGCCTGACGAGTCACGTTTGAAATTTTTGAATAATTGTTGGTATTGTAAACATGATAACGATTATTTATATACTGAAACAATTTAATCGTGAAAAACTACTGCTTTGATGACGTTTGTTAAGGACCAAATTTGGAATATAGTGGTTCACCGTTTGAAGGAGAAATAGAGATGCAAACTATGATGAATCTAAATGCTACGCATGTGAATGACTCACTGGTTTAAATTATTACAACACGAAAGCGCTTCATTGAGATTTATGCTAATTAAAATAATCATTGTTTACTCATACCCAACCGCTCATTACTATCGGTAAGCTTACATACTTTCAGCTACAATCTTCCAATAACAAGGCCACGATATAGCAATGTGTGAATAAACACGGTGAAATATGTTTATTTTGATATTAACGTGAGTTACTAGGATTTATTATAAATACACAAATTACTTTTCACCAAACTTTTCTCATGACACGTTCAAACTTATGGTGTACCGCACTGTTTACACATGCCCGCCGTCGTGCACCCCTGATTTAGTGAATAACTTCCCAATATTAGGCTTGAAACAGACTGTAATAAACGATGCGAACCCTAATGGTATAATTTTATTTTGATTTAGTTATGCGTTCAATATCTTCGCTATTCAATGAACGGTAGACTGAGTTTTCGTTACTATTATGTTTTGTCGTTCAAGGTTTTTGTCTTTCCAAAAATAGCATAACCCCGTTCGACACTCCTATAAACACTCACACCAGGGTTTTGTGTTCTATTTGTAAAAGTCGTGCAGAAGAGCAGGCAGGCGTAAAGATATCCGAGTTGCTCGTATGAGGGAAATTCAAATCACGTTGCACCTTACCTATGAGTCATATCTTAGTAGTGCGTTTTCTTAATCCCTGGTACATTGGCAATTGAAACCAATTTAGAGTATTTTGATGTACTTTAACTATCACATTTCAGAATATTTGTTGCGTTATTTCAGAACTATATAGAAATCATCAAAACTCATTGAAATGGTTAAAACGGAGTATAATTCTGAATTTCTTCAACGGCTATATATGAAGAACTTCAATAAAGTCGACACCTCGAGATCCACGATTTTTACTCATTCTTCTGCTAGATCGACTGTAAAACATTCTAAACGAAAGACGTTTTTGCATTCATACGCGGTAAGTTATACTTGTAGCAGTATGAGCCAACCTGTGATTGAAAAAAAAACGTGGCGCTTGTATATATAAACTAAATTTGAGAAGAGAACAGTCCAATTTGAGCATAAAAAATTGCAATTAACAGGGTATAAACACCAAATAAAGCATAAGACCAAACTCATATAAATATCAAGCGGACCACCTGACGTATGCGCAATAAGCAATAAATTACAAAGTAATTTGATGTTACGGTTAAAACGGAACAGTGTTTTGTTCAAATTACCATTTTACCATTAAATGTTTTACCCGCTTCGAGTTGTTTAGCAAAGCATAAAGAAATTAATGCAAAAAGCATAAACTCAGGAATGATTTCATTATTATCTAGACCTAGAGAGTAAATCAAAAGATTGTTTTCACTATTTTGTATTTACTGCAAGAATAGATTAAAGCCACATGCTTTCCTAACGCGGTTTCGTGTTATACCAATGCCGTGCGGGTAAAAATTTTCCTTCAGTATTCTATTATACTTTAACGTTTGAAAGGACATAATTTTCAATCTCATTCTATTCGTCATTTTTTATTTACTACAGAAATATCACCTGATAATAGGCGGGTTATGCATTATTTTTGGAGGATTTGCGATGAGTCCTTTACTTAACAGAGGTTCTTTTATGTACTTCGATCCAGGAATATACGTCGGCTTTACAGTGAGTAATTTTATTATTCAAAATAGAAATAAACAAGCAAGTCTCCGCACCATGCACCCAAACGTACAAACTGATAGTATTGGAAATTTCAGACGAAATAAATTCGACAATTTGGCGGAAAACTGTTTTGCTTGTGTATGCATATTCAAGTATAAGCTAGCCTCAAAATTAGTCCAAAATTTTTTACAAGTTCAACTTAATTTTGCTCTTAGGGCTGACAACCGCACAAAGTGTAGTTTTGCGCTTGTATTTGCTTATATCTGACCCGATTTTAGACTGTAAACAAATATCATTTCACGATGCCATTCATCTCTCATTTACAACTATGAATGTGCGGGAATAATATTTGATGTATTGAGTTTACTTATCTTCCACGCATTCACAGATTTCAGGTGTGGTTTTGATTCGAGTTACCTGCTTTATATGATTAATCCGTTGTAGATTATCAGCTTGAGTTCACCAATTTTTGCAGAAACCTGATATATTTTTCATCCGCGACACCCGCATTGTTTGCAAACGCATTGAACGCAAAGCCAATGAATTCCAAAAATGTAATACCAGCATAATATAGGAAACAAACTCTAACAAATTATTCAGTACCCTTCTTAGTGAGAATAATTGCATAACAATAATATTATGAATTCTCACATTACAGTACATATCGATGGGGTGTGTGGCTCTCACCTGTAACAAAACACTACATACAAAGAAGGTGAGATATCTTCTTGAAATATTGCTCAAAGAAAGGCGTCGGCAAACTTTTGTCGTTCGCGAGCCAAAAATAAAGGTTGCAAGTCATTGGCGGGCCGCACATATTTTTAGGAAGTTAAAAACCGAACGGATGGGCAATAAATCACATTTATTCACACATATTTCAGTTACATTTTAAGCAGTGCTCGAAGACTAATCATTTGCATATTTTCTGCGTCATTACACCATTTGCACTCAACATCAACTTTTTTACGTTCTGTTGCTATTTGTTAAATTATAATCAATTATAGTCTCATTAAACGAGTGACTGTGAATTATATATGTGTTAGGTTATAATATAATTTAGTGTCTCGAAACAAATTCTGTCACGTAAAGAATATATTCGTCAATACAGCTGTTTTGTTAATATAATTCAGTGAAGCGTCGCGGGCCTGGTTATATTGCTCCGCCCGCCCGATCCGGACCGCGGATCGTAGTTTGCCGACCCCTGCTTCAAGATAACTACATAAGATAACTAAAACCTTAATGGGGCGTTCTACTGGCTTGTTAATACTAGAAAAAAGGGGTGTAGCCAGGGCTAAGGCAATTTTTCATAGTTTGAAACGCTTTTTAACTCTCAGGACTCGTGAAACCCCACGTTTCCCGGCTCCTGGTCGAACGCGCTAACTGTTACGGTCCAACTATAGCCGATTAGAATTTTCGAGAAACCCTTTTGAAATTGTTGGCTCCTCCCCTGCCAGAGGATATTTAAAATAGATCTAATAAACATCATTTTAATCTCTATTTGATCGCTCATAGGTTTTATGCCAAAGCTCAAGCCGGACATCGGTAAATCGAACAAGTTTGTGTATCGAGTTGCCATTGTTGGACACGAAATAGAAATGAACTCGTTTCGTTATTATGTTGTTGTTGCTCTTGTTGGCATTTTTCTTCTTTTCGGTATATGAAAAAAATCGCTTTTCTACTGGTCCAATTGCTTTGAAATTTTCAGTGGTTTAGGATTTTGTTTGAAGGCCACTTTTGTTTTTTCAAAAGTTTTCATGGCTGCTATGGCAATCGTTTTTGTGTTCGATGACGTCATCAAAAATAAAAATTGCACACCTTGTGGCGGTTCCACTTTCGCGTAAATTATTATCTGATGGTCAGATAATAGGTCGCACGCTTCGGTTACAGTAGTCTGCCGTTACAGATTGTATGTTCTACTTCGTTTTGTTCTTCGTGTCCATATATATATATATTTGAGCATAGCTCTCTTGTTTACGGACGGAATGACCACTGGTCAAGTCTGCACAGATTCATTAGCAATCGAGGATATACGAATCAGAAAACAGTTAACCTATTACAAGAATTTCTTTCCTATTTTAAGTGAATGGTCTGTAATTTATTTCTTTTGCCTACATAAAATGTTCCCGTTATACAATTCCAGTTGATGAGTGTTTCACTTGCGTCACTCATCATTATTGGAATCGCAATATATGCAATTTATTGCGAAATTTGGATAACTTCCAATGCAAAGAACATATACGAAGAAATGAATAGCGTGAGTAAAGTTATTTGTCACACTGCTCTTCAAAAGTTGAAAGTTTTATATATGTCAAAAAATTAAAAAACAGCAGTATAACATTTGTAGGTTCAGTTTCACAAATACGCACAGCAGAATTTGTCACTCACAATTGCTTTTTGTAACATTTTTAGTACATTTCAGTTGAAGTAAAATGGCTAATTGCTAAAGACATCCTAGGTCTTGTGCGCCAAATGTAAGTAAGTCAGAAGCTAATTTTGCTGGAAGTAGTAACAATGACAGCATTTTAAAATTCCGTGTTTGTCTATATTCAAATTACCCTTCTAAATCAATTACTGAAATTTCTTCACTACTGTGCATGTAGCCATCAAATAAAAATCCATATACGACAAATATTTGTAATTTGTTTCCAGTTGATGAAGAATCGTCTTGTAATCTTGGAGCTTCAGTCAATATTTGTTCTTCATCTTATGCTCATTATATTAAACTGTGCTGAATTGTACTTGGGAATAACCTATTTAATTTATTCTTTATTTAAGATATGTTGCAAGACATTAAAGTATTTATAATTTGAAGATTCTTCTCATTCTTGTGTAGCAATAAGTGAAATGAAAAACTTAAAAAATGTGGAATGCAAAACAAATACAGCATAGGAATGCAAATAGAATGACAGACTGATTGGTTGCATTATTGAAAATGATAGTAAACTGGACAAATCGAGGTTGAAAAATATATATATACTTGATCTCTGTGCTTGACCAATAGCTGTTGTAACATATTTACAAGTGAGATAACGCATACTAGGCTATTTTTTGTTTAGAATCATCTATTCTAGAATCTAGATTTTATACTTTTCGTGAGTTTTGTCTGTTTTTCTGATTCTGTAACCAGTCGATATATGATTATATTAAAATCAGCATATATGTGCTTCGGTATTTCAATGGCTAGCAGATGTGTAGTTGGTGGTTACTGCAGAATTAACGATGATGGTCTGTCCTCATGAATTCCCTAAGCATGAAACAAGAAGAAAATCATGAATCAAATTTGCTCAACTAATTCATTCTGAGGTGTCCATGTAACTCGAAGCTTAAAAATTGGTTCGAGGTCCCTGCAAATCCCTGCTCTGCAGCCAAAAACATATAGGGCCTAGGCCTACCTGACGGAGTCTATCAAATCAAATGTTCATTTATTCTGGGCTATGTCCTTTCATTCTGAAGCTGGGTCGCGTGAGCAGAAGTGTTCGGAGTCAGCTAAGAACAGTGAATAGAAAAAAATTTAAAGGCAAAACCATAGATCCAACTCCCGTATACTCTTGTATATGATCCTAAACATAAATATTATATAAATAATACAATAAAAAGTAAAATTCAGTGCCGTCACCATATCATATTCTGCGTATATCGTACAGATAGTAAACACATAGTGTGCTAAATTGTCATAATTGCATATATGTTCACACTCACTGGTAATCTTTTTCTGCTACTTATTCTATGACAGTGGGAAGCACGACTTGTTTCATCTGAATGCATCCGAAATTTGATAGTCGGATATCAAACTCCGTCTAGTCTGTTAGGCAACAGCTTTTTGCAAATTAGCCTGTAGTCTAGAGTCTAGACTGTGGCCTCCATGACAGTTAAAAAGCGTCTCCGTCGTATCAGCAAAGAATGGCAACCACCGTTAGTGACCATACTAGAATGACCACCGTGCTAGTTGGTAGTTGCTACCGCTCCGCAGATTGTTAGGCTAACAGCTTTGGACAAAGTAGGCTATCCTGAATGTTGAGTAGTGGTATCCATACCAGTGAAACGTATGCAAAAAAGCATCTCGGTAGTATCATCAACGAATGGTACCCACAATTATTGACAACCAGTGATATGAGTCAATTGTTTTTACATCGTCGTATTTATAGCGACGGATATCAAACAATGTGTTACGCTAATAGGTCGACAGCTTCGGGCAAATGAGGCTGCAGAGTTTGTGGAAGTCCTACGACTGGGAATTGTTGTCATATGCCACACGTCATCTATTCAGCGGCAAAGCTGAAATGTTGATACTCTCGGAGAAGCCAGAACTGTCTGCAGTTCACTTGAAAATCTAGATTTTCAATATGATTCTAAAGGTCACTTTTAAATTCTTCTGTGTTCACTTGCCAGGCACGCCATGTGCATTCGGCTAGGCACGTGTGGCATTTTTGTAACTGTTGGACAAGAACAAATTTCAGGAAAGTGCTTTTGAAAGTAAGCTATACTGTTATTAACATTCTATCTTATTATTTTTATCTTACTGAATTGTCGTGGTGAAAGTCAATGTTTTTATTACATTATGAAAAATCGCAAATTCTCTAATCGTTGTCCAGTATTTTACTAAATATAAGAAATTTTGATGTTGTATCTACGGGGAAAAGGGCCGTAGGAAGGAACTACTCATCTGAGGAACTACTCATCTGATATCTTGTTTACCAAAATTTCCTGATCAAAATGTTAATCTAGTCATAAAATGAATAAAGGAGGCAAATTATATGTAATATATATTGTATTCTCACTGCACAAAAATGTAGATATTCAAAGTTTTTCAGTTACTGAATATTTATTGCTCACAGACTTTTGCAATTGATAAAATGTTTATAGTATATACAGTAAGTTCACGTTAAAGGGCCGTGTTTTGTGCCCGGTCCAAGAAAGGCAAGTTACTTTGCAGAATAACCATTTTAAAGGAACTTGACAATATTGACAGAGTATTTACAAGATATATATAGTCTGTTGCTCAAAATATGAGAGAGAGCAGAATTGTTCTGTAGGCAAAGCTTGTATCGCCCATAATAAACTGCTCAAGTGTTTCTCCATATTTCTCATTAAACTTCTCTTTAATTTGTGTCATATCGATCTGTAGAATGAAACAATTTGGTAACAATTAGGCATACGAAGCGATGTAGGCAAAAACAGCAACAATCATTTTTAGGGCAGATCTGCCACGCTTTTTGTGTTTAATTTTACTAAAGTAAAGTAAAGTAAGGTCCGTTAGAGACTTTTTTATCGTCAAACAATAACGCCAACAACTAGATTAATGATAATAATTTTACGAATACGTTCCATGGGATCACCCCGCGTCGAAAATTGCAAACATTTATTTTTTGGATAAAAAACCCGCTCACCTCAGATCTAGTCACTATTATTCGTGTCAGAGTGCTATCTTCGGTACCAAGTCCTTTCATCGATCTGTAGAGGCGATGAGCAAAATATTCGGGTGGACTTCTGGCGTATTCAGTAATTGCTTTTAATCCATCTTTCATATGTCCATGAAATTCGGTTCTAATATCTTGTAGAATATCTCGACCAGACAACTGTAAAATCAAACATTGAACTCTTTTCAAGACAACTACTCTATGAATACTATTTTCGATTTTAAATCAATTGAATTATATTTATTTGGATCTCAATCAGAACAATAATATATTGTCATTTTGTAGCAATTACTTTACGTTATAGATGTATTCTCCTTCGGAAATTATATATTGTCCGTCTCTTCATATAGCAATTAACAAATGTCATATTTTTCCACACGTACCCGTCGATATTCCTCGAATGTTGCGCGTAAATGCTGAAAATTTCGTTTGCAGAAAACCTCGTTGAAACTGTAATTCCGAGTTGCACAACTTTTCGGAATGTTTTTGAACAAAACTTTTGCATCTCGTCTGGCCAGCTGTGTTGATACTGTATTCGATTCATCCCGAGATGGCTATAATATGGGAAGATAAAAATTGAATTTGCTGTGATTTAAATTAGGCTTTCTATGACGAGCCATAAAAGAAGATGCAGGACTCAGATGTCATTGTATCTATCGTCAAAAATGACATAAAGTGAGGATAGAGTGGATAGATTGAATACAAACATGCACTTACCGTTGCCAACATTAAAAGCATGTCACAAAATTCTCCACTGGTCTTTCGTTTTATGAGAGCATCGACTTCGTGATCATACATCTTCTGATAATACTCTCGTATTTCCTTAATTTGACTGTTACTTCGAGAGATCAGTATTTCAACAAGAGACTAAAGGAAATTTTGGTAGTTATCGATGGAGCGTAACATATAGCTTAAAACAGATCATAATGACTACACAAGCCTTTCTTCAAGTATATATGATTTCGAGACATATATATGTAGGTTTTTATCATGTAACATAGTGTATTACTGGTTGAATAGTTAAACTGCTACCAACACGAACAATACGTAGCATTCATCCCTGTAAAAGTACAGTTTCGTCATCGAATTTATATCCACGAATGAAAACAACTGGTCCTGTGGGTCCAGTGTATATATAAATCATTTTGATATTAGGTTGTTGTTCTAAAAATCATTTTTCTTATTCTTGTTGTGATGAAAAAAATCGCTTTTCAGATTAAATACTTGACGAATAGATTTGGGATTTTTAGTGGTTAAGGATTGTATTTTACGCTTGAAAGTTATTATTTCAACAATTTCTGTGGGATCCGAGGAATTTGTTTTGTTTTGTTCGATGACTTCATCAAAATTAAAAATTGCGCACCTTGCGGCGGTTCGCGTTAAAGATCTGATGGTGAAGTAGTGAAGACTACGGTACCGGTAGTCTGCTGTGACAGATCTCATACCCACACTACTTCGTTTTGGCTTTCGTGTCCATATATTTAGGTATCGCTCTTTTGTTTATTATACCAACTACCACTTCAAGTGATAATTTTTCCCTACAAACATTTGTTTAAATGAAAATTTGATCAGTAACCTCGCAAGCCAAGGTTTATTAGTTACGATGTTAATTGGATTAGTTTTCGCAGAAGTACATTTCAATCTATATTATTCCACAATATTAATTAATTATATTGAGATAGGTATGTTTACTCTCATAGTGCCACGCAATCGATTAATCACCTCATTAGCCCAAAGAAATCATTTAAATCAGCGAACTTCAGATCTCGGTAATAAGATAAAAATTGATCTGCATAATATATGCACAAAGTTTGAGCAGCAAATCAATAAAATTATCAGGTAATCGATATATTTAATTACGTCACAGAATGAAAAATTAATTAGATAGTTATAGTCTGTGTTCACCGACTTATCAGTTGGGAATTTTATTCTATATTCCTTCGAATTCCTGAATCAAATGTTACCTTCTCATCTGTACCGAACTCTTCTAATGCTTCATTTAAACTCCACGAGTCATATTGGATAGCAGGTGTGAAACAAGCTAACAAAACTCTCTGAAAATCCAGTCTGGTGTACAATTTTAAGTCTGCAAGCAAGGGCTAAAAAGAAATAGAACAGATAATGTAAATGTTACGCCAAAACATGAATACCCAATTTATAATAATAATTTAATATTTAGGAAATATATATTGAAGTCACAACGTAGAATCAAGTACTGAAATTATTTATTCAATCACATAGATTTTGTCATCCTCACCAGCATTTGTGATCTCTTCGTTGAAACTGATTGAGAATCATGTTTTGAATTAGGCTTCAGTTTTCTGATTTTAAAATCAGTTTCAAATCGGTCAGAAAAGCCTGTCTATAATATTCTACGCTGAACGAGCTTCAACGCCATTTAAAAATACATTACGTTAGACATTATGCATAAATTATATAGATCAGCAAGTTGGGGTTGCATTAGATCCTTATCGTGTATATCTGTAAACCAAATGGATACCGTAAATTGAATAGAGATATACGTCTTTAAGTATTTTAAGTTGTTAGATTTAGTAATCGTGTCACGTATCACCTTTTCTTGCTGTTCTTCGTATCTTCTTGCAATTTCAAGTCTCTGGTCCAAAGTTCGAGAAGACACGACTGATATAATTGCTGTTTCATCTCCTCCTGTAAAATAGAATATGGCAGATACCGTCACACTTGAAACGATAACCCTATTTTATAAAGAATATTTTCTAACATTGAGTGAGCTCAATTTATCTTTCAGTAAAGTAAGTTGGGCTTTAATTTATTGCCCGAGATCAGGATCGTCTGGATCAATCATTAAAAATCCTTCAGTGTTCACCCGCAAGGGTAGATATGTATCTGTAAGCAGATCGCTTATTCCAAACACATAGAAAACGATCTTGCAACAATATCGGATATATATATATAAATGGGAGTCGATAAAATGAGGTAAAAAAATGATAACAACTTCAAGTTAACATAATCGGGTTAAATCCAAATTAGTCTAACTTAGATTTTTGTTTTAAGTCGTATCATTTTGGAAGGCTGGGGGCCGTCTGGGAGCAGACAGAATAAATCTTTTGAATTGAAGATGTTCGTGTTCACAGAAGGTTTTATCTCATCGCGCAAAACGAGACCCACTCTGATTTGACTAAATATCACCTATCCGAATGAATACCATAAATTATCATAATATTGTTATGACTACTTACCAATGTGTCGTAGATTGTCCACAAACACCTGGGCGTCCCGATCTGGATGAAAGCTTTTGTATGCTTTAACTGTTCCGGAATATTTTGGAGTTTGTGAAACTTCCGACATTGTATAATTTTCCTATGTATATACTAAAGTTAGTCAATATAAAATAGGCTACGTAAATCAAAAGAAATGTTAAAAATGACAAACTCGTACGTTCAAAAATGCCTGTAATCACTAAGCTATCACAATTAGGAATGAGTCAAATTTATTTGTATATTCATTGCGTAAACTTTAGTAATCAATTTTTAAGGTCTAATTTGCCAAAGCTTTTTTTCTACAATTATAAACTAGAGTTATATATACCACTTCCGATATACCGTACCAAATTTCAATTATGAAAAAAATTAAGGCCAATTTGGCCGACTTTCTTAGTTTCAAGATACACAAACTAAAATTACGTATGAAACTCTTAAATATAGCAGACAAAACTTTATTCATCTAAACGTCATTGACTTACGCATAATAAATTACGCATTACTGTGTCCACTTACAGGGAAAATGTAAAACTTCTCTGATCAATCACTGAAGTTCAATTGTACGTACTGGTTACTATTACGTCGTGTTTCTCTAGTTAGGCATTGCAATTCAGGTCAGGAGTGGGAAATTATAATCAATCACAATTTATTTTAGTTTTTGGTTATTTTTGTACATGCATATTATTTCGACAAAAAAATACAATTGCAAGCCACAGAATACCTAGTTCTCTTAAATTGTATTCAAATCGGGAAAGCATTAATACATGGTTACGACTTTCTCGAATACTATCCCCTCAAAAATGCTATTTTGATATGTGTATATAAAAACAACTTGTAATTATTTTTGTACTGATAAATCGAATCGCCTGTGTATATCTATAAGTATCAATACCGATTTATTCTTTGGTTGTTTTTATTCCACCCTGTCAAGATAGCCGAATAAGCAGTATGGCTTAAAGACTACATCGTATCCAATGCATACTGAGACTTGCAACACTTACAGTGAGAACCTTTGAGACAACCAATAAATATGCCATTTCGAGTTGCGACTGACACAACTGTAAAGTTTCTACAGTAGAGTCATTTTTGAAGTACAGTAAAATAATTTTAAAAAACACGAATCTATATAAAATACTTCATATATTTTAGTATTGGTTTTATGCATCTCACAATTTGAATCTCAATCGAGCTGTCTCAAATAATTTCTTATTACCCCTTGAATCACTAACTCCCATCTGAATAAAACTGTTGATATTGACGCAATACTCTTGTTCCTTACTCGAACAAGAAAAAACCCTGAAATGTCGCGATCAATCTACGCGGACCAAAATAATCGATGGTACTAGAAAACAAATTAGAAACTTACATGAATGCGTTCGTCTGAAATATCAATCAATTGCAACACGTACGCCAGAAATGTGAATTTTTTCTCTTCGAATGTTACGAATTATTGGCAGGTCGTGTAAGCCAATTTGAACATACCTTGCGAAGTTATGCATAAAATAATCGATTTTAAAACACGTTCTGGGTAGTTTAACATACGAATAGGATATTTGCGCACTTAAATATGAAAACAAATACTTCGAAACAAGCATATATCAATAGAATGATAGGCAGTTTAGTTTTTTATTAGACTCTGATTATGACGAGAATGATTGATGATTATTTGTAAGTATTGATTCACCAGAACATGCCTATTACATTGAATAAATATATTCGATTTAATTTGCTAGATGCCTATAATTACGAAGAATGTGTCGATGCATCAATCGTGTCATTTTTATTTTTTATCATGTTATATTTTTTTTACCATAAGATCCTCTGTTTTGACGAATTCCAAATATCAGTAATGTTCCTAAAAATGAAATGGTTTGCGTCATCTCTAAGTTGACTTTTATCCAACTATGATATAATTGAGTCATAGAATGCAAATCGTGTATGATGTCAATGATTGAATTAAGCAAAACTAGCCATATAGCTGATATTGCCAAACAAAATTCCATAATATTTATATATATTTAATGTTTTGAATTATTCTATTTTCGTAATAACATCACTGCCAATATACTATTTTCTCCTTATGGCGCTTTGGCGTAATAGTAAACTTGACACAATGTTTCGGAATGAAATGATAATATACACCAGTCATTCAAGAATTTTTGTATTATAAATGCTTCATTGATCTAAAAAGTCATTTTACATAAAACGTATGGAATTCGCGTCTGCGTGTCAGAAGATAAATCACCAGCATGATGTGATTAATACCGTTCGTCATTCAAATTCGATACTTTTGGGTTACAATAACAGCGTATGTCCAAAAACGTACAGATATCAGATTAAAGATATTTATTGCGCAGTTTTTGTTAGATGTACATCTTCATTTTTGTTAGTGATAACTACTCAAATTCCTAAAATCAATACATCTGAAAATAAAATATCATAGAAAAAAAGGTACAGTGTTCAGCATTTTGCACATACACATTTTAAAGTTGTAAGGAATTAGTATTAAAGTATTACATATTTGATATTAAAAATACCATATATTTCTACGAATAACGATATAAAATAAAAAATAAAAAACTCAGATTGGAGTAGGAGTTGCATGGGACCCTATTTTTCATTATTTAACATAAGTTCCGCAATGTAGAATTTTTTATTTGTGAAAGTATCATATGCGGTTCCTCATCCACAAGTTGGCGCTAAAGTTTGAATAATTTAGTTTTATTCATTATCCTATTCATAAAACAATTGAAAGCGGAGTAGGGCTGATAAAATTTGCCGTAACAAAATATCCGGGAATGATACCTGACCACCTGCAATACAAATACACAACGGTTATTTCTTCAAATATTGCATACAACCAGACAAATAACCTCAAATAATAATTTGATACTTTTCACTAATTCAAGGCTCAACCTGCTTAATTTTGAAAATATGGGCCCCGTTTTGATGTAGCCCACTTTTGTCAAACTAAGCTCAAATTGAAATCTCAATACTTGTTTTTATTCTTAAAATTAGGAATGAAAATACATGAAGAATCCAAGCCAATGCCTGATTCTCCTTACAGCTCTATGTATGACGACGAGGGTGAAAGATACTTATTGTTACAAAAACAGAATATTATTTGACTTCTCAATATTTATACCTCTTGAAGTTGCGTGCATCCCACTTCATTGCAGTCTCTTTACAATCGGCATTTTTTATCGTGAATCGGCAAATTGCCTAAGAAGTGAAAACCATGTAACAAAATTATACACTGAAATACTAAGAGTTTCTACCACTCATTTATTATTTATATTGTAATAGCAGTTTTCTTCAAAGAACACGGTCACAAACTTCAACTAACTGGATGAAATTCTCCAAAACAAAAGTATCATTTCACAACACGAATTTAAATAAAAATGAAGAGTTTCATGAAAAGAAAAGATTTTTCCAATTTGATTGAAATGAGAGCCATTTTAATATGACATGATCATTTGTTGTGGTCAATATATATACTCTTTTGGCTGTTTATTCCAGCCTTCCATAAACACCAATTGATGTGCAATTGATTTATTTTAGACTAAATACTGTGGAAGCAAACGATTTTCAAAAGTGAATTTTCATGTTAGCTTGGATAAACATTCATCGAAGACTTTTAGCTTCGTCTCGAAAAGGAAATGAATCAAGCAAATGAACGTCATTTTCAATGCCAACTGCCATTTTCTTTGGGCAATGTGGACTTCCGTATTTTACCTTATGGTGTATAAAAGTCTATGGGTGTGCTGTTAATAATCAAGTTGATTTTCAGTCACAGACAAAGAGAAAGTGGGAAAATATTTCCGTATTTTCATTCAATTTCTTAATGTTTTGTTCCATCAGTGAACACTGAAAATAGGGTACAGAAACAACGAAAACACAAAACAAAGTTGATTGACCGAAACGTTTATTTTGATCAAATTACCAGATTATGTTTGAATTATCCAAATCACAGAATCTAAAATTAGGCAAATCATTCTGTTCGAGTTTACAATCAAAAATGTTAAACTTTTATGCGATATTCCTTCAAAAAGATAGTTAGTATATATAATATTGATATTTTCGTGTAAAATTATAATTCTCAATATTACTGGTGCACTTTCTTTCAACCTTAAGAACCAGAAAAAAAAGTTATGTAACATTATATCATTGAAAATTAATAATGGTGGAATCATTCTTGTATGCGGATGCGGTCATCATATTGGAACATCTGTATAAATATGGCCTATCTAATCAATGCAGATCTAGATATTGAGTATTGATTTAACGGCTATTTTGTCTTTCATTTATTTTCAGCGGCATTACGGCTCATAAATTATTAGTATACCACAGCGTTATGAGCGAAAACAATTTCTTGGTAAGTTGTGAACTTGAACTAAACCCAATAATACATAGCTAACATTCCTCCCCCAACCAACAGTTAGTACAGGTGTGTGCAACAGACGGCCCGCGGGCCACAATCCGGTCCGCCAAGCCGTTTAGTGTGTCTCTTGTCAATCATCAATCATAAACTCCTAATCCCACAGTTCATGTTTAAAAGTATACCACTGGTGGTGGGTGAGAATACGTAATTTTTAATTTTTTTTGCTCTTTTCGCGACGCTCTGGTTGTCGCTAACGTATTTCGTTGCTGCAGGCTTTTATGGCGCTTGTTTACAAAATTATATTGTGATGTAATAGTCCCTCATTGTGATTGTTGGTCACTTCCCACTTACCAGTCACCAACTTTCTAGAATTTAAAGCAGTTTGCTACTCTGCAAAATCTAAATTTCTTGTATGGCCTAGCTAGATGTCTGAAGTTGGTCATGTGGCCCACCGACAAAAATGTTGCACATCCCTGCTTCAAAGTATACCCTAATAACCCCTATATAAAGTTTAAAATAGCACAATTGTTCCACTATCATTCAATATCTTTACCAGAGTGTATGCGATCTGTGCTACAAGGTTCAATCGAAAGTCGAAATCAGAGATAAATCCTACAACGGATTTCTTGTGGAGAACTTTTTTTTAATTAAAGTAAAGGTCGTTCTTAATACTAAATAAGGAACTAAGTTTCACAAGATTTGCAAAATTCTCACGGGTTTTAAAGTGATTAAATTATGCAAACGCTTCCATGGAAAACTTTGATTTATTGGTTAACATGAATTGTCATTTGGTTAATTACAGTCTGCAGTAGTCGGAGTTTGAAGAGGCCGAAACGTAATTTTTGGAACGACAATGACGCAGTTGAACACATAATAAATATCTACTAATATCACCCAACACGATTCAGAGAATTTCCAGAATATAACAAACATTGATTGTTACGAGTCGCCTAAATGGCATATTATGTTATTCCAGGAAAATTTCCTATTTCATTTAAGTTGGAGCGATTGCTATATATTGGAGATGTGAGGGCATATTCTCGCAGATATTTTATTTGGCACCTGCGCTGTCAATAAAATATTATGTGTGTTTCCAGGCAAACAGCTGTTTAAAATTATTTGTAGAAGTAAAGCACTTTACAAGTATAGAATTGGGAAACAATGGAAAGAATTGGGATCATCGCCAATAGACTGACAAAAACAAACTTTATTTGCACCCACTAATTATATAGGACAGCCCAGAACGATCAAGCAATGCGATTCATTTGACGTTGTATTGATGCCCCATGCGAGAAGAATATTGAATCAGAAAATGCGTTAATAAATTAGTTAGACTTTACTTTGAGCTATGGAGATATTATTGCATATAGATGACGAATAGGCTGTTCAATCGCCAAACTAATTTCACGTATATAGTGCCGTAAACGTGTACACGACTCACAAGGGATCTTTCTTATCCCTGACGTTCACAAGTGGACTTAAATTTGCATAATTGCGTAGTTGCAGAAGCTTGTTGCAGCACATTAGTATTTTCTATTTGGATAGCATGCGTATTTGGAAGGTGATATTTATCTACACAGTACACTTGCACTTGTATCTAACGATTGCGGACGTTGTATATCTTATACAAGGCAGTACAGCTGCAATTTTCTGTCGCTCATTATTGTCTGTGGCATAAAAATACAATGAACCTAATACGATTTTGCAAAACTATATTACACAACAAACTTGTATACAAGTCTGCTTCATATCTCGTACAGTGGCGCACGTTTCCATCCATCATTATATTTGTTTGACAGAATAAAACCATTATTGTGATCCAATAATCAATCACATTTTTGCTAAGTTATTATATTGTACATATTTGAACTATAAGAGGCAAATATCAACGTGATATCGGCCAACACAATTATATACAGGCTAAATTAGTCAGACTATTCAGTTGCATATATCAAAGTGTTATTTTTGAGATTATTTTTGAGATTTTTACTATAGTTCGTAGCTAAATAGGTTAGACGCGTGTACTTGAAGAAGCTGTCAGATGGATTTTGACAACTTAACTGTACTTTTTAAGTTTTTTTTTTCATTCAAATTGATTTCAGGTTTGAGTCTGAATCCATTTTTCCGTACGCAATTCTTCTGATATTGATCTTTCAGTTGCATTTATTTTTGCTATTGCATAGCATACCGGTAACAATAAAGTATTAAATGATATGTAAAATAATTTTGTAGAATTGTATTTATTGGGAGATACAAATCTTGAAAAGTGAAGGAATTTTATCAAACATTTTTAAATGTCATAATAAATTAATATGGTTATGTTTGAATAAACAGAATCTTAATCAATCTATAGAGTACGTAAAATTGAACACAGCTGTCAAAAACTGTGAAGACGATACAAATACTCATTCGTCTTCGTTTCTACGTTTAAATTTTTGTTTCTACATTCAACTTTGACCGAAATGTCATCAGCATTATATAGCAACAATAATCCTGGGATGCATTCTAAAATTCCTTCAAAAGAAGACAGCAGTTTCAACGCAGAGAGAGATCTTGATGCTTTATTAACTCATCTCAGTCCAGATAGTAAGTAATTAGGATGCTACCGAAGTTTGTTTTAACCTAAAAAAAAACTTGTTTTATTTTGTTAATTTGTCCCAAAGAGATTTTGTTCAAATTAGGTCGCCGTATAGGCTAAGTTGGAAAATTCAAATATTCTGTTTTATAGATAAGAATTATAAACAAAAAAACATGCTTCAATTTTGTTTTTATTCTGAACGTCATTCAACAACTGCATATTGAAACTTTCTTTCTAAGAATCTTTCTCTAAGGTATCTGTTATATTTTCACACCAACTACTACATGTTATTATCAACAATAATATTTGTTAATAAAAACTACCTTTTTTTATGAAAAAATGTAGGAATGCAAATTCTGAGCTAAGAAGTACCTGCAGATGTATTTGTTATATGCAGGTGTTACGGCGGTCAAAATTGACATAAAAATTTGGGCAGTGGCATTGTAAATTGAACCGCAAAATGTAAAGTTAATCATTAAAGTTAAGTCATTTTTCATTTAGTACGCTTATTAATTATAAATCACATATATGAGAGGAATACGTTCCTTTTGCAGAAGGTAATGAAGATGTTGTTATATCATTGGTAACGTCAAGAACCGTGGCGCAACGACAGGCGATTGTCACAGAATATGAAGACATGAACGGGGAGGTATGGCTTCGTTTAATCCTAAATATAACAAGTCGCCCATTTTGTAAAGCGCAGTATAAAATTGAAATTTCAACCATATTTCACAAAAACTACATTGGAGATCTCAAATTATATCGGAATGCGGATAAAAAAAAACGTCAATGTATAAAAATATGATTACAGTTTACAACCCATCGACTGTCTAATATAGCAGAAGAACCAATTACCAATGCGATCCCTTATGATCACGTCAAAATAAACAGGCGTGTAGTAGGTGTGGCATGAATACATTGACATTTTCTTTTTAGATAACACGCATATAAATAACTCACTGGGGAGTACGTTAACCATAGCGTTATCAAAATATCTTCACTAAAAACATTTACCAAGTTTAAATTTCTGCTTTCGTCTAATCATTTTATTACACGCTACTAGGTGATATGGAGGACATAGATTCACTAAAACCTGCAGTACGTAGTTTGATCTGTCTCCGTGTCACACGTACGTATTGTAAGGTTGAATGAATATTGATTAAATATCTTCACGTTACAGAGTATTGTAGCCAAACTCAGACGCGATCGAAGGTTCGGCTTTCCCCGATTGATGATTGCTTTGTTCATGTCACCCAGAGAATATGATGCACAGACGGTTAGAAGCGCCTTACACACCTCTGCAACAGACGAAAAGGTTTATTGAATTTTATTGAATTAAATCACACATTCACTTATATATTGTTATGTATTGGTTCAGTCTAGATTTTCCTAATTATTAAATACAAGGTAGCTTCACTGATATATAAATTATTATTCATTTGTAGACATTATTGGAAATATTTCTCACCCGCACAAACCGTGAAATTCAAACGATGAAAGAAATTTACTTTGATAAATACAATCACGAACTTGAAAGTGATTTGAGAAGAAAAACAACTGGATATTTCCGGGCAGTGATTACAAAACTCGCACTGGTATGTAAATCGTAAAACATTGCAACACAAAATCTAGATAAACAGAAATACCAGTAGATTTCTTTGAAATATATCTATATTTACACGCATTAGTATTGTGGGAATACATACTACTGTAAAGCCACTCAATATTTAATTTAATTTTATATACAGCACATATAGTATTTTTAAAATACCATACGTGTTAATTGCAAAATTTAATTTTAACTTTCTATTATATCGTCAACTGCAATGTTTCATATTGATTGGCGTTTGGTTAGCGCAATAATTAATGCATGGAAATGTGTCGTCCATATTATTTATCCATGGCCTTCATAGCTGATTACCCGAGTGAGCCGTAAGTTCGAATTTCCTGGACTTATTGACTAGGCCAGTGGTTCTCAACCTTCCTTTCTTTGTGGCCCGTTTTCGTTGCGCAAAAATTCTGAGGCAAATTTCCTCTTTCTGCTTGGAAAAACTACAAGAAGAACTAAAACAAAATTCTGCAAAAAAAGACTTTATTAATATTTAGGAGAAAATTACCACCCTGTCACAAAAAAAAAAACAGCATCATCATTCATTGCTACTACCATCAAATTTAACTGAATTTATCATCAACTCTAGCAATTTTTAATATGTTTGTGGCACACCTGAATATGTTTCTGTGGCCCAGTAGTGGGCCATGGCCCACTGGCTGAGAACCAGTGGACTAGGCAAAGCAGTTACCGGAAGCCGTTATCATATCCCTACATCTTGACCAATAAAACGGGTCAACTATTTTTATATCAATCCTTATTAGTAACAGACAAAAGGCCGAGGTTAGACGTGTAATAAAGCCACTTATGGATTTTTTTAATATCGTGGACTATCTACATTTCAATTCCCTCATTAACTAGGTATTTTTATTAAAAACAGCCTTCCAGAATGCAGAATGCTGTTCCATCTACCGAAAGAGCAAAACAAGATGCCGAAGATTTATCGAAAGCTCTCGAAAAGAAATCAAAAAAATCCGTTTTTGTCCATCTTTTCTGCTATTCCAGCTATTTCCACTTGCTTGATGTCTTTGATGCATATGAAATTGTAAGTATTGAACAGATTGTTTTGGTGAATAAACGCTGAAATTTATTTTTGAACATGAAAAATATTATATTCACAAAATGAATTTTTATTGCAGCAAAATGGAAAATCTATTGAGAAAGTTATCGAAAAAGAATTTAAAGGGCATTTGCACGACAGTCTAAAAGCAATCGCGTCAATTACTCGGTCGCCTGCAACGTATTTTGCGCAACGTCTGTACGAGTCTATGATTGGTGAAGGACACAATATGGATATGCTTGTTCGTATCGTAGTCACACGTTGTGAGGTAATTCTCGTAATTATATTTTTATATATATAATTACTGTGTTACTTAGTACAAGGACACCAAATGTACCCATGGATCGTTTTACGAAATTGTTCTTTTTTTGCTCCTTTTTGTTCGCAACTGTTTGATAAGTCGGTTCCGAATGTTCAGTACTTAAAAATGACGCTAGAAGGCTAATACTTTACTATTTAATTTTTTTGAATGCTAATGTGCTCCAAAGTTCGTGGCGTATATTGCGCCACCACGTGGCTCTTTATAAGGGTAGTCCTCCATTTTGAAAAAAAGAAGATTTCGTCTAGGGCCCGACGTAAACCCTGGTGGAACTTGTTTGTTATTTTGATTTGAAACATTTGAATGTTTAGATAACAGATTCTTGTGTAAGTCGTGTAGATTACCTCTATACGGAAATTAGTCATTTGATTTTCGCGTTCATTTATTTAAGCATTTTTCCTCCTTTCAGTTTACTGCCATCCGATATATTTATACTCCTATATATATATATAAATATCATTTCAGGTCGATATGCCAGAAATCAAAGATGTCTTTCTAAAAACTTATGGAGTTACTCTGAAACAATTTATTGAAGATGAAACGACGTCAACCTACAGACAGTTACTTTTAGCTTTGATAGACTGAAAAAAGCTTCTTTTTTAAAATTTGTAGGTTAAGTTAGCAAAGTTTTATTCAATCTTTCCCTAATATATCTGTATCTATATTTTGAAGTTTCAAAATAATGTTTGATTTTTGTTGAAAACTGGTTATAATTTTTTAAACAGAATAAGTTAAGACAAAGAGTCTAATTTAAAATTACATTCTAACAATGTTGACGAACCCTTGTTTATCTAGGTAACAGAGAAATTTACATACGAATTTCATTGTTAACGTTGTTGAAGTATATTTTAATGTGTTTTTTTTGGGGGATTTTATCTTGTAAAATATTAATGTTTGAACTGTTTTATCATGCAAAGATAGTTTTGTATATATAAACTGGAATATAGTTAATTTTTAAAATTATATTTATTAGGAAATAGTGCTGAAATTATGTTACTAATTACAATTAACGTCTCAGCATAAACATCATTACTTTACATGTAAATGCATTGCATAGATCTTTAAGTATTTTCGTCTTCAATTTATCAACTTTATACGGATTACCTATTTGATGTTACCATTTTGGAGTAAAACTGTGAATTAATTATCTTTTTTTGCTTCGACGAAAAATTTCTTTTTAACCGAAACGCTTTGTTTTACCTCACGATAATTTGTATATTTGAAAAAAATAAAAGATTTATCGATTACACATGCCTATTTACAATTTAACCAAAAATATAGCACAAAGTCAATCATCTGACAAATTGTCAACGGCCTCCGTCAATATACTGGGTACGGCAGTCCAATATTCCAGCCGAATAAACACCAGTCGCAAAGTTATAGATGAGCCAAACCTATAGTCTACTTAAACCTATCAGCACATATTAGGGGCGACAAATTTAGGTTACATATTTTATTAACTGAAGCCGTCAAGTAATTGCTATTGTTGAAACAAAAATTGCATTTTCAACTTTACAAACAACTGTATTTTTGCAAGGAATAAATCCACTAATAAAACAGTATCCGAAGGTCCAAGGTAAAATGGGGAATAATACAATCGTTATGACAGACGGAAAAAAAAATATCATTCATTGATTTGTAGTTTAAACTGACAACTCATGTTGCATTGTAATTTTTGTAAAACTCTCCAACAATCATCAACCAAATAGGTTGGGAATAGTTAACATAAAAGCTGAAAAAAATGGATTTTGCTTTTGAAGTGGAATTTACCACCATAATTGAAATGTATTGACTTAATTGTAGCAGTTAACTACAAAATATCAATCAAACTTTACTCATTGTGGTATTTTAGGCTTGTCTAGCAAAAAAGAAGTATATACAAAACATGATATGTAAATTACATATTATCTACAAGCACCAATAATATCACGAACAAGTTATTACTAAAATACGATATTTTCTTATTTTTACTCATATATTGAATACATAAAAGAATCTCTTCAATTGCATTGGTGTGGTTTAAATAGGAATATTGACTCCTATCTTAAACTCGGCACTCGGATTATCTGTGATTGAAGCTGCCTGAAAAAATTTGTATATTCGTCATTGCATTTTCAAGAACAATTTTTATTTGCGACATATCAACTACTCACACAACGCACAACAAAGGCAGTGAATGGCTCAGGTACATAACGAGAATATTAATTTGAGACTAAGATTAAAATCTGTAATTTGGTCGGTACCCGTATCACAACCTAGCGAGCCCTCGTGACTCCAGCTTGAACTTTGATTTCCAATACCCAAAACATTCCTTTTATTTTGCGTCTGTATTTTAATTAACAAATGTGAAAATGCGCGTGAATTACTTCCTCAATCTCTCAATTAAATGGCATTTTCTCACACAATAGACTATACAAACATAAATCAAAGATAGGTCAAGTTTGCATGACTAAGATAAATTTATCAAAGACTTACTGCCGAAACGTCCACTTTCACGCCATTCCCAATATCCTGCAAATATATTATATTAAGCTATACATGAAGCTTCAAATACAAAATTAAAATATCCCCAATGACAAATACACAAGTAAAAGTCAGTACCTTTTCTGCAACAAAACGAATCTTTTCATCAGAGACCTGTACAACACAAATTGGTAAAATGTTAATCAACCAGGATAGAAATTTTAGTAGATTTTTTATGGGGCTTTTATCGTACTTTGAACAATTTCTTATTGAATAGGTAAAGTTGCTATAACGACTAGTGTACTTGCGAAAAACGAGTTTGAACAAACAAAAAATAAATAAAAAATATTTAGCTCATACATACCACTTCACCGAATATTTTCTGTCAACAAATAAAAAATAAATAAAAGAATGTATGTATATATAGAACAGTAGTCTCTGTAATAATAGATCATATTCCAAATTTTAACATTAGGTTCTCTCTTGTATCGAATTCTATAACAATGGGTTCTCTTTCAACAGAAAACCATACCGAAGTTATAGCTCTATAACGATACACCACGCAATTACGAAATAAGAAAAACGTAATTGTCTTATTTACTAATATATGTCACCACGTAAGAAACAATAACATTACACGCTCACAGAAATCTAATACATAACTTTTGAAATTATATTTTTATGAAATAACCTACCGTATTGCCGTTGTTGGATTGATAAATATCACCCTGGAAGATAAAAAAAAATAGTTACAGTTTCTAGATTTTGTCATAAAATAGTGTCATGCCAGATTTAGATTGTGTCTTTATAAAGATTGTAAAATATTAATAGCAAATGTCGTTATTTTGAGGGTGAATATTCAACTGGAACGCCATACTGTAATGAATATTAATAGTAATCCAAATACCCCAAAGGTTCAATACATTAATTTTACTTTTTTATAAAACTGTGAACAAATCTCACTGCTTGAGAGTTTTAATTTCTTTCGTGTGCTATAAAATTGAAGAGATTTTTGCTGAAGGGAATAAAAGAAAAAAAGATTTTTACCCGCAGATTCGAGGATTCCGACATGACTTTAATTTATTGATGTTTCTTTGCGCCAGCGGACACTGTAGTTATTATTACTAGCTTTTTACCTATATGTATATTAATATATGATTAAATTGGTATAGTTGACAACCACACAATTTTATTCTACTTCATGCTGAGTATATTGCCTGCCCAGTTGAGAAAAATGCTAAAAAATTTGGACGTTCAGATATCGGGCCAAAAGAGTTACAAGGACTTTTAAATATCCCAGTTTATTATCAATGTTATCGAAGGCTGCTATGCTCACTAATTGATTAAATATTAATATCCTGCCCAGAAAGTAAGTTAACTACACCTTGTCAATTTCCTACTCTCTTGTCCTTGTTTGTAATCCTGCTGAATGAATGCGAATATGTAAGCTTTTCATGCGATCTGAGAAATATTAAAACCTCTTGTATTTACACTCTGACTCATCGACTTTTTATTGTAAATAGAACGAAGATCAAACAATTTGCTTGGACAATGAATTGTTTTCTGAAGCTATATATCATATTGTTCGGCTCCCATTGTATGATTCTGTTTATGTATGTAAGCTGGGGGCGCAATCATGTGGTTAAATATTATGTGAAGAATCACCATCAAAATAACGGAGAAGAGCAAAGTAGCGAAGCTATTCTTGATACAGTGCATTGATATTACAAGTAAATGTGGAAGTTAGCGGGACATAGGGAAACTGTAAGCCATAAAATCTCAATTTTTTTTAACTCGAAATAAAAATATTACAAGCGTTTAAAAACGTTATATTATTCTTATATTCCCATTCTTTGCAGCCAGGTCACTCTTGTTCGTTTTACATTTACAAGCAAGCGGTGGAGTTTCGTTCACCTATTTCGGTGAACCGTGTCTCAACAAACGCAAATATTATATTACGAAGGCATTACCATAACACGTTTCAAAATATTTAATCGTTGCTCCCTTTTTCAACACTTTTTATCGAGATGACAAACTAAAACATAACATAAAAATATGTAGAAATTGTAAATATTATTAAATTCACTAAACTATGCGATAGCGTTTGAGATTTTTCACTACTTTTTATTGCTAAAATATTCCACAATAAAAGCTTATTAAATTGATTTTTCACGTGCAAATTGGCAAGGATAACTTAATCAAAAAAATTTGTACAAGAAAAATGGATCCTAGGTGATTCGAGGGTGGTTGTTGCAGGGTGTTGCTGCACACTAACAAAAATATATTTCCCTAACCCGTCATATTCACTAATCACTTAGAATAGTTATCTCTAATCTTGCTCTGCTTACTTGCATGGTATGCATACGGATCCACACACAAAAGCATAAAGAGGGATAAGTAAGATAAGATTTTTTATGTGTATCACTTTTACATGATTAATTCTCTTTATTCAATTTGCTCCTCTCTAATAATAACAAGTACACACTATACAGTGAAGATATAAACTGCTCATATGTAACAATACGTCTGTCATAAAATGTGATAAATATTTACATGTAAAAGACAAACTGAATGTTGATAGTTTGATCTTACAGTTTTGTTGAAATTTCATTCGACTTAGTTTTAATAGCAGTATTCAGAAGTAAAGAAGCAAATCTTCTGCTCGCTTTTCCCTTTAAACCTGATGGACAATCGGCATTGGGATTGTCTCCTTTATCTTCAGTACGTGAAAGGTTCTTTGATGTGATCGGATTTTTCTTTTCAGAATTGCACGATGTCAAATTCATGCTCGTGTTGTGGCGAGTTAGTTGCAAGTTTTTAGCAGAATGCATAAATGAGTTATACCGGGTCTCGTGTCCAAGAACAGAAGATGATATTGAGGCTTGGGAGAGCGTGGCTCGCAGCGGCCTATGTCTTGCAGACAAAGCGGGATCTGAAGGTCGTTTGCTGTACAGTGATCTGGAATACTGGCATTTCCATGGTCGTGCAACAGGGTTCTGAAAGTCAATATTTAATTATATTTACAGGAGTATTCTAATTGAACACAGATATTGACATAATGACGGAATTACTCGCTGGAAAATTAAAAAAAAGATGACGAACTTCGGAACCATCTTTTTAATTGGGCGCAAAAGCGAAAAGTAGTTTGTAGTTGAAACTGTTATTATTTAATGAGTAAGTTCGTATTAATAGAACATAGTGAAAGTTTTATGAGAAATGGTATACCACGACTGAAGCAAGATTGTTCTATACTCCACGTGTTTCGACGTAAATCACAAATGATTGATATTATTCCGCCAAGCAGATTATTAAAAAAATAACTGTAAAATGGTACTGTGAGAAGGGAAGACAAATAGTAAATTTTACCTCAGGACTTGAAGCACTTTCTTCGTCACACTTCACACGTGATGCTGTTCTATTTGACTCATAGTTAGATAACTGTGATGTAACTGGATTGCTAATTTTGTTATTATTGTTGTTTGTATTATTGAAGTTAAGAGGGATGTCTGTCGTTAACTTGATGCCCGTTTTCATCAAATCTTCTATAATTATATAAGAAGTGAATTGTAAACAATATGTTTAGAAAAAGACAAGCTTAATCTTACGATGATTATACTATTAAAATCATTATTGAATTCAGAAGGGGAAACATCCTCAGAGTAAAATTATTGCCGAACGATGTTCAATTTATAGAAATATTTTGTGTTTGCAAATCTTATGTAAATTGTCTAAGACAAATTATCTAAAAAAGTAGGAACAATCTGCCTTCTTTTTTTAATGATTCCAATTATGAATCAAAGATCAAATAACAATGTTCAGAATAGCCAAAAACAAGGAAATGAAAATGGAATAGAAAATACCTGGAGTTAAAATAAATTGTTTATTACGCCATTCAGGAAGATTCGGCTGATCTATAACAGGCTTTGCGCTGTAATATAATAAGCACGTTTAAAATATAGTTATATATATTTAAAACGTTAAGTGAAATGTTATTGAATAACCTGGCTATCCGAATTAACGAAATTTTTAAAATGTAAAATTTTCGTCAGTTAGAAAATAATTGGCCTAATATTTCCGAATGATTAGGAATTAAAAATCTCGAGTCAGTGTAAAATATAGCTTGAATCTTTATTGATTATAAACCTTGACATTGACTCATTATGTTGTGATGGTGCGTCGCCTTCCGATGTAACAAGAGTGTTGACGTAGGTAAGAGTTACTGCACTATTGTTCTGCAGTACCACTGTCTGAAAGTACAAAATTCAGTTGTACAAATACTACTTTTTTAAACAAAATTGCAACCTGATAATTGATTTATTCAAACCAGCCTATAAAAATGCAACCATGATAGGTATTTTCTGAGTAACGATCAGGTGATAATCTGAAGCAGTACACGAAAAGTAGGAGACTATTCTATAGTTATATATGTTTGTATATGTTGTCTCTATACTCAAAAAATTTGCATTTGCTTAAATCACTGTTGTATTGACTTATTCTGCAATACAGGTAAATCTTTAAAATAGAATACTCACCATAAAGTAATTGAAAGTGCCTTACCGAATTAATTGATGTAGTTCCTTTTCTCGTCGAACTTATAGTTAAAAACGATTGATTACTTCTCTTGAATTTAGCTGGGCAAAGCGAACTTCTCAAAATCAGTTTACGCCATTCATTTCTTACTTTATTGTTGAAGAAACAATGAAATACGAAGATGAAAACACCCTTTATAAAAAGATGAAATAGAAATTTGTTCGTGACATTTCTTGTGTTTTCCATTACAGAAATATAAATATAGTTATATTCTATTCAATCCCAATAAGGTCATTTACGAGAAGTAAGTTTCGTTTGAACAAAGTCAGTGATTCTCAGTTATACATACGTGTTTACAAGTATGATGTAGTAAGGGTGAAGACAACTATTCTAATCTAGTTAGGAGTCCTGCCCAAATATCTATGACTTTTGTCAGGCGAAACGTTACCGAAATATATTTTGAGTTAGCGTGCATACGGATTCATCACCGCAAAAGCTTTAGAGGAAGGATGAAAAGCTGGTCACGAAGAACCAATTGATAATATATATAAGATGAAGCTTTTCGAATATATTTTTCTCGATTTTCAAATTGGTGACAAGTTACCTCGAAAGCATTACAGATCGTGAAGGCATATGCAAACACGGCTGAAGCATTGTTGACGAAGAAAATTCCCAAAATCCAAGTTATTCCAAGTAAAGATAATATAGCAGCGGATCCTTTTATCAACTTCCTGAAATAAAATGTACGTGCCAACTGCCAAGTATAATTCTACAATGCGGACATACACTTAATGCATGTACAGTATGATTTGTGAAGTCTTTTTTCAAAAGTTTCTGCGCAAATTAGCTGATGCATCTATTTAGCATAATGGAGGTAGGACTGCTATCAAAACGCCTACCTATGATGTAAGAATATCATTTTATTCAAAGCAAATATACTGAAATCAACATTTTTTAAAATAGAATATTATTGCGATTGCTTTAAACTTGTTGATCGCCCGCCCTCTTCTGGATTCGCGGGTTCAAATCTCAATAAAGACGATGTTTGCTCCACTTATGATGGCAAAATGATCGCCGAATAGTTAGTTGCTAATGGGGTTGTTGCTGTTGTAAAATAATTTTTTATCTCAATTCAAAAAAGCTTTTTTATAACGTATAAGAACACTTTTTTCGTCTCGCTTGTACCTTTTCAGTGGCTTTCGTTTCTATATATTTTAGAACTGTTCTCTTATTCGTAAGACGTCATTGTTTAATAAACAAAATAATTAATAATAATTGATTTATATCTAGCAAACTATAATTCTACTCACCTTCCTGCTTCAAGCCTTGTGTTATCGGCTACATTATGTTGACTGACAAGACGCATCGCAACAATTAGGAAATATGTGTTAATTAGTGCAACTAATAATACAGGCCCAGCAAATGCCCACATAAAGTTATCGTCGGTACTTAGCCAGCAACTGTATACATAAATGAAATATGATTTTAAGGTATGATGCTAAAGAAATTTTAGCAAAATCGAATGAAATCTCAAAACAAATTTCTGGCGGGATACAATAGATCTGGTTGGAAAATTTCAGAATATTTGCACCGATTTCCTGATTAGTTCTTTAAAAAGAGGAAAAGCTTTATGATGAAAAGCTCTGTTTTTGGGTATATTATTACCTAAAACAGGTAAACGTCCCAAATATATGGTAGTGGATTTTTAAAAGGTAGATGGGATTAAAATTCACGTTTTCTGCGCAATAGAATCAGTAATACAATGATGCCAGACGTCAAATATATAGGAGAAAAAGATATATTCGCAACTACAAAATATTCGAAAATATATCTCAACTGCTTGTCGGTTCCATATCCATCGCTTCTTATCGCAGCTGAAACTCCAACAATCACCAAAGGAACAAGATGAACGATCGAACAATACATCGCCATTCTTGATGAACTATCAATACTGAAAACTTTGATCAGTGATATGTACAGATGATATCCTTCGACACACATCCAACCAAATACTACCAGAAATAAATAGTGTAATAATCCGGCTATTATTGAACAGGCGACCTATAAAAACAGTTAAATGTTCATTTTTTGATAAAATAAAATATAAAATAGAACACAAATATTGAATAAGATTCTACTTTAAAAATGAGGTTCATGAAATGTAATATAATACTCGACTATAGTATCAACTGTCACAACGAATTTTGCTATATATTAATAAAAAAAAATGTTTGATCCAATATCAGCATCTAACTAGTCCTAAATTCATTAAAAATTCTAAAAATCCATTTTCAAAAGAAGTAAAGTATTGAATGAAAAATATTCAAACCTTATTTTGTGTGTGGTCAACGCCAACGAGAAAAACTGTTTGAGCCAGCGCTAAACTGACACATAAGCACCGATGGATTGATGTACGAACAGATTTCAAGCCAGGTAATATAGTGAAGCTGATGGCAGACAGCAGAAGACAAACAACAGACATACTGCAACCAATATATGTTAGCAGAGACAAAGCTAATTCGTTTTCTTCACTCAGCTGAAACAAAGATAAATTTGATTTTTTGCCGTGCCAAAAGTAATATTTAAAAAAATGTTCAGCACATGTACTATTCTATTAGTTTCGCAAATTTTCATAATAAATTATAAAGCCCACCTCAGTTCCTACTGTGTCCATGAGTATAGCAAAACTTGTTAAATGGTTACATTCGCATTCAGTGCTGTCTTGACTAGTTGATATCAACCTGCATCCATTGGGTGACCAATATCCACCACCATTTTTGGAATCAGTTTTCCAATAAACACATCTGAAGAAAGCAATACAGTTTATATTTATTATATACGTGGAGTTGGCTATTTGGAACCCGAGCCGAGTTGGCCATACCCATGTACAGTGGCGTATTTAGAGTATAGCGGCCATGGGCGCCGTTTGGTCAGGGTCGCAAAAAAGGGGAAAGTTTTAATCCTAAATGTTTCAATGTGATAATTTTTATATTGAAAACAATTAAAACTCGTATTTTTACTTAAATAATAACGTACAAATATCTCAATTCAACAACAGCCGTTAAAATTGTCAACCAACGATCAAGGGGGTGCATTTTTAACTTCGCCATGGGCGCCATTTTACGTAGCCCGCCACTGCCCATGTAAATTGCTGCGACGGCGAGACTCGATTCGCAATTTGTATTTTAATGTTTCGAATGATCAGATAACTGACTTCAGAGTAGTGTACCGGCACTCAGGTCAGTCAATATACAGTCTAGTCTACCGTCACTCAGGTTAGTCAATGTACAGTCTAGTCTACCGGCACTCAGGTTAGTCAATGTACAGTCTAGTCTACCGGCACTCAGGTTAGTCAATGTACAGTCTAGTGTCTAGTCTACCGGCACTCAGGTTAGTCAATGTACAGTTTAGTCTACAGGCACGAGGTTAGTCAATATACAGTCTAGTCTACGGGCACTCAGGTCAGTCAATGTACCTTCCGTCTATATCTGACATGGTCAAACTATGGCCCGCGGACCAAATCCAGGCTTTTGGGTAATTCAATTTGGCCCGTCTGATGTTGCCTCAACCAAACTAAAACCAAATTTTGATGTTTTAGAAGAAAATAACTCAAGGAATTTGTTGAAATTGCGATTTAATTTAGTTTCGGCACGAGGCTTATTGTTTTCAATTTTTGCTTTTGTAACACTGTAAATATTGTTCATAAAATTTACCTTTTACGTCACACTTACATGGCCCGCCAGTCAAGATGGGCAAATTATCAGGCCCCTTGTTCAAAAACCTTACCCACCCCTGGCTATATGTTTGAGTATTGATCTTTTGTTGCACTTTATATTGTGTGTTTTATGATAAGGCTATATTTGATTCACGTTTTTACGACTCCTGTGACATAAACAAGGCTTCTGTTTTCTGCGAATCAACAGAATTGTGTTCTGACAATAACAAACGTTTAAAATATCCTATGAATTTCACCTGATGTTGTAATGCTTAGATTGGTTCACAGGTTTATGGTGATTAAGCATGATTCGCACTTTCTCTTTAGCGTATAGATCTGTATTACTTGGCCGTACAGTTGCCGATATTACTTTGGAAATAATAGATGTAATGTGACCACTGGCATTTGATGCATCAAGTGATGGATATTCAGGTACCGTAACCGCATCTGCTTGTTCGTTAGCTTCTACGTTTTCTATAAAATTGTTACCTGTGTTTGGAAAAAATAAAAATATCACTCGGCTAAAACGACGAAGAAATTTGTTGGACAGAAGCTAACTTTTTATTACGTAGTCTGGGACTTCAACAGTAGCCTGAAGTTCAAAGTCAAAGTTTAGACCAGGCTTTAAGCGTTTTAGCAGGGTTAAATGAGTTCAATTATACGTTACTCACCTAACAGTTTGTCCAGGTTTTCATAAAGAACGAACACAACATCAGTATCGATACCAAATTTTGCGTTGTGTGGCAGTGAGATACTTCCAGCCCGTTGTAGAGATGTTGCTGTCTTATCTGGCGTGGTGTAAGGAAAATCTACTCTCGTAGTATCGATACTTCCATCGTTAGATGCTGATCGTATTGATGTCATCTGTACAAACAAAATTTTGTTGCGTGCCAAGGGTCGGTGGAATTTAATTCCATTCAATTGACTGTGGTTATCTGCAGACAGTCGGTGGAATAAATTCTCGTAAATTAATAGACTCATATAAATATGAATTCATATAAACCCACCTGTACTACAGTGCTCTTCCTGGTACTAATTGTATTTCCAGAAATATTAGATTGAGCAGCGGCAAGAAAAACTGATTTTTCCATTGCGAGGGAAAGATCGACAGCCCTCGTTGCTTTTTCATCCTAAAATAAAACACCATTTGAGGCACAAGATGATGTTTTGCTGTGCTGTATTAAAGAGCGTACAAAAGATCCTGATTTGGGAGATAGGCAAAAAACTTTAATTTCATGAGCAATATTTACAGTCTTATATAAGCAAATGCGGAAAACAATAATCCTTGTGCCAATCGCAATCTCAACTATTTCGTTGGGCTATTTTTTAGCTAAAACATAGAAATTTATTTGTTTTTAGTTTGAATGTGGCAGCATCCGGCGGGTCAGATTGGACTACCCAACGGCTGGATTTGGACTGCGGGCAGTAGTTTGCCCATGTCTGGGCTATATATTAGTCCTAGCCTTAAATTACAGTTTTTTTTTCCACGAATTGAAGCGTTACAAGATTATGTTCTATCAATTGTGCTATTATTATGATTGGTATACTGTTTCAACGGTGACCGTACATTTGAACCCATGTACATTTGAACCCATGCGTATATCCACGGGTTCAATCTATATGCGGGTGCTAAAACCCATGGGTTAGGGTTAGTATGGGTTTAACTATCCGTGAAACAAAAAAAATTCCATAGGTGCAATCGCATACAGGTGCAATTGTCATGGGTTCAAATGTACGTGGGTTCAAATGTAATGGAACCTGTTTCAACTATCACCACTAGTTGATTTCTTTTTCAGTTTCTCACCTCCGTAATATCTTGCCATGCTTCTTCATTTCTCTGATTCAGCAAACTATCAACAGTGTCTCCTACAGCATCAGCAATCGCACGCGTCACTTTTTTATCAGATGAAATAGAATTTTCAGCAAGATCCATGATTCTACAAATTACAACAATATCAAATCACATACAGTTTGAGATGAAGTAGCCTAATCGTTTGGATTCGATTTTGAGGTGCAGATTCTATACATTGGAATTCGCTGTTTATCTTGGAGACTAAATACGTTATTATCTACCTTAATTGAATTGGGGTTTAGCTAGGCCATGTTTGATGCCATGTTGACGAATAGCAAGTAGATTACCTGTTAACGAGCGTTGTACTTATCAACCAATCGCCACCAAATAACGGTGTACTATTGTCTTGTAATATTTCAGACTGCATTTCAGCAAGAGAAAGTAATTCATACTGCGTCCTATTTTCTGAAAAAGAGAGTGAAGTTTAGCTGAAAAAGCAAAATTATTTGAATTTTAAAATGAACTTGAAAGCATATTCAACCATAATACTTCAGTATAATATAATCCCATGAACATGTTATATAATCGCTATATTTCAAATAATTTTTTTTATTATTACCTTGTTTTCCAATACTGTCCAGTTTGTCTTCAAACTTTTGTGTGAGCAGTGAAAAACATTTGCTCAAATCAGGTCTCTGCTTTGACCAGCCACCCGGTTCGCACCACCAATATGCCGTACCATAAGATCCTTTGCATAACAAAAATTGTCAATTAAAAACGATAAAGGTTATTATATATATATAGGACAGACATTGTTTTGGGAAAATTTGTATTAAGAGTGAATAATGTAGTATTTGTAGTAATATTTGCAAACAATAGAAGTTCAAAAAGTCAAGTCCAATACTCTCGCAGATTTGACTGACCCCGATCACATTTTTCTACGAATATGTCAAAATCATGACGTTGAGATTTAGCCCATACCTCACCTCTTGGGCAGCGTTGAGGTATTAGTCCAATAGGACTATCAGGCCAATGAATATTCCGCGTGGTGGTCGACGGACAACTAATGTAATATACTAAATTGGCAGGAGCTTCCGGAGACTTGATGTCGTCATTAATGGTGTCGTTATAGGACATCGTGGTAGCTGAAACTTTGCCATAAATTGAAGTTCCAAGCTCTATCAATACAAATAATTTATTAATTATAGATTGGTAAAAATCAAAATACGAAAAGTACTCAAGTTTAAATTGAAACAACCTGTTTATTGATTTTATAATAAAATCCAAAAAAATCAGAAAATAATGAGATATACATATAATTGTGTTATTACAATAAAACGTTGGCAATAAATATTTCGCACACTGTAACAATATATTCACGTCATGTCAGAGTTAATTTAATGGAATAAAGTATCATGCACTCTTGCTAAAATCGAACTTTTTAATTCAACTGTTGCTGTTTCTTTGTAAAGATGACCGCGGACAATTACCTGGTGCTGTTGTCGTATCTTCAGTTATTTTCTTCAATGGGTAAATGCATTCGTATAATATTGCTATGATTGTATCTTTTGATAGTTGATTGAGGGGTTGTTTACCAGTTGCAAAGCGAACGGTGCAATTCTGTAGAATATACCAAAAAAAAAAATTATGTGATATAAGATACTCATTTTTTATTAGGCCATATTGGAATATTTTTTGTCACTCTTACAAAGTTTGTATTTTTGCCATCGCCGGTTCGGTCCCTAGACGAATGTTCACACTCATATTTCGAATCATCAAATTTATATTGCTTTTTTATATGAGGCAAGAGCTTGAATTCTTGATATGTTTGCTCGTTTTTCAGCATTTCGCACATTCAACATAACATAAAAAGTTCATTCAAACCCACCGTATTTCCTTCACAACTTCTTTTGACTTTAGATATTATCGTGGATTCTACAGATGCAACAGTGTGTTCTCTATTTCTTAATGACATTTTGATAAATTTGATATTTATATATCCTTTAGTTTCTCTTGGACGACAAAAGATACTAAAAATAATTAGATTGAAAAGAATATTTTTAATGAGAATAATAAGAATAAATAGAAGAAAGTAAAACATGATCCTCCACACATAGTACATATTTATTACCTTGTGTTGTGAATCCCAAAAATCTCAAAATGCACTTCATCTTTTAAAGTGTTCTGAAATCCTGGTGACATATTATATACAGTCCTTTTTGCACATTGTGATCCAGAATTGAGAAGACTGAATTTTTTTTTAATTTCCATATATCCATCAGCAATGTAATCTAAAAATGAAATTACAAAAGTCTTATTTACTCTGGTGTTTCTCACGTAAAATATGAAGTGAACATGAACTGTAATACGGCATCCTATATTCAGGTTTTATTGTTTTCAACAATTGTTTAAACCAGTATCATTTCACCAATTGGGCGTTTTGTGAAGTTTAAAAAATTAAAAAAAATTAACCTGGAAGCAAGTAAGATGTTCCATTTTCACTGGACGCAAATTTTCTTCTAGAACTCAAAACACATCGGAAATTTTTTGAATATGAAGATCCATCACTTCCAGATTTTAATTTTTCAATAATAGAAAAACCAAACGATTTGCAACCTTGTTTTGACAAACACAAATTTGCGCACTCCTCTGATGTAATAACAGTTTTAACTGTGTCGTCGTCACAGGGAACAATCTGTTGTTTATCATATTTTACAAATCGATCGAATATATTTGGAGATTTGTACATTTTCATCCTCAATAGCTCATTTCCTGTAGTCGATGAAAATAAGATTTAGAGCTTTAGAGATAAACCAGCAACAGATGATATAAATATATTATATTATCAATTCGGGATTCATAACAATATTACTTATGAATTAAAAAAAAAAACTAATTAAACCAAATTAAACATTGGCATGTTCCGTTCCTCATATACTATAGATTTTAATATTCCTCATTCAATTCTTATAACATGTGATAGGTTAGTCTTCAGATCAAAAAAGAGCTTTTGATAAAAGTGGAGCTTTGGTATTTTCATTTACGATTGAATCAAAAATTAGCATATTTAATTGAAGTAAGATTCGTATATTTCACCAACCTCTAATTTCGCGTTTATCTCCAATCGTTCTAACAAAATTGCACAATGTATCGTCAACTGATTGTTTAATTTTGCTATTTTTTAATTCTCCCAAAATATCTTGCTTGCGAAGAGTTTGCATAAATTGCAGTTTCGTCCGAGGTAGTTTACAGTTTCGGCTCTTTTTCATTTTCCATTGCTCAATTTTCTGATATTGACGTTGTTTATACGCATTTGACTTCGGCGCCCACGTTTCCAATATGATTATATCGTATGTCATATATTCCCAATAATCAAGAAGTCTATTTTTGTATGTCGACCCAGTCGGAGAATCATATTCGTTGCATTGTAATTTTTCATTCAAGATCTCTCCGTATTGTTTGAATCGAGCGGTGAAATTTGAAAGATTAATTTCCGCCAAGATTGACCAACCTAAAAAGTTGCTCGTGGTTTTTGAGGCAAAAAAACATTTTGCTCTAATTACTATCAATACAAACCTTCGGAGCCTCTAAACGAGTGGTAAAAACTGCGAATATTTCAGATATTTATTTCATCAGAAATTCATACTGAATTGAAAAATAGGAATTCCTATGAGCAATATAAAAAATTGTTAGTTGAATTTAACATGAATATTGTTCTGTTATCCAGTAACAACAATATTTTCTGCATAAGACATAAAAAAATCATTTGAACTACATTTTAAAGCATATACCTGGCAATAAATTTATAGAGTCGGCGACTTCTTCAATGTATTCACATCCAATTGCATTGAAAATTAATTTTTGTTTTGGATTGTATTCAACAAAATATACTTTTACTCTTTTTACAAGTACAGGCCAAGACAAATAAACTAACGTGGTGTTCAGATGTATCATCGTAGAGAATATCTGAAACAAACAAAAACTGAAGTTCTGCAAATTTTAACCTGAATAAAAAATTGAACAAATATCAGTTTTATAAAATGTAAATCAGTTGTATTCCGGAACAAGCATTCACAAGTCAGAAATCACTTAAAACGAATAATAGTTCAAAATTGAATGCCGACGCCCCCAAGGCTTGAGGCACCAAGGCTATCATGCCTGATGATAAATCCGGCCTGTATATGAATAATAATATGAGTTTGATATAGAAATGATCTTTATTACGGTATTGAGATTAATTCAAACTTATCTATAGATAGTTTACCTATGGTTTGTATAAAGATCAAACTTTCTATTTCATTTTATTTAAATTTCTTACCTTCAAAATTCCGTTTTCCGTATAAGGATAAAACTCGTTTTCAGAATCACTTTGGCCAAATTCTAAATAGAAGTTTGTGAATCCAGGATCTTGGTTAGCCTTGGATATTACAGTGATAGAAGCACCATGAAACGCTTTCACCTTTCCTGTGGTGAAATATAGAAGTTTAATTGGTTTTTATAACATTAGAAGAACGAAATAGACGATCTAGTCGTTAAGCCTCGTATCAATCGACGTTACTGGCGTGGTGCGGTATTATTACTTATCGATCCTTAGATCGGTAAGTATGTTGATAGGTATTTGTCTGTTAGATGCACGCGATATCTCACGAAGGCGTGGTTGAATCTGCTCCAAATTTCGCATGTACACTCATCATATCTCGACCAGAAGCCTATTGATTTTGGATGAATTATGTCGTATAATTAGCGAGTTATCAATTAATTAGTGATGGGACACGAGGTGTCACTATAGAGTCATGAATCGAAACCGCAGTTTCGATCGATAAGTCTTCGGTCTCCGACCGATATTCTCGTTTGTTTATTATTATTTAATTCATAATCTATCTCATTTAGTTTTGAGTGAGTGCGCGTGTCACTGCTTTGGGCAAATCCTTTTAAACTCCCGATGCATATCACGCAATTCATAAAAGTAACATAGCCTGCTTTAGCTTATTCCTAAATTTGATAAATACTTATTCTGAATATGAAATTGGAAAACGTACCCAGATCCATGAGTATCCAAGGAAGTATTTTTGGATTTGCTAATTTTTTCAATTTGACTCCCACTTTCTTGTACGCATTCGTGTTTATCGTATCCTTACCATTACTGCATTGGATATGTGCAACTAAACAAAACAATGAACATGTAATTGTTTCTTGTAATATTTCACAATGCTTTCATTAAATATTTACCACACATACAGAAGGTTATATTAAATAAAATAAAACATTTTTTAGTTTTCAATAAATTAGCAGATGAACCGAGCTAAAACATGAAAAAAATAGATGAAAAGTGAAATTTAATTATTTCTTTGTCCTTACAATCTAATGCACCATCACATCCAATGGTCTTGAAACAGACTTCATTTTTCTCGCAAGATTTGTACCGGCATTGTGTTGCAGATGAAAGTTGACATCGATCAACTAGTTTTAAAAAACTTGCAGATTCTGGTGAGATACTTGCATCATTTCCATTTATGGAAAGCCTATTTATGCACGACGAAAGAGTTTCCATTTGCGGGAATATTGACTTGAAACGCAATGGACGTCCTAGAAAATTAACAGAGTTTGTTTTAATGTGTCACAAAATCGTGATGATCATTTGTATCCTAAGAATTTTATAAATAATTTCACTTTAAAGTTAAATTTCATCAATTAATCTGATAATCTTGAAGCGTTGCATAAACATTAAAAATTCCAAGAGTACCACTTTAATTTAAATAATTTTTATCGTATGTGTTGGTCTACCCAAAATTGTCATCGCAAAATTTTGATTCGCACCATACGGTTATACTAGGCCACGCCCATTTCCTTCTTCATATATTCAGAGTAATGCATACCAGAGTGAATGAATTGAATCCGGTAGCCTATCTAATAACTTAATTTAAAAGATTACAATCAAAACCATAAAATACCTAGAGTTAGCAAGGTGTTCTGATTTATTGTGAAAGTGTCAACGTGTTCCTCAGAAATATGAAATGTTAAAGGCCGACCTTTGTTGAATTCGAGGGTTATCTGAAGATTGAAATATAATTTTTGAAACAAATTACTAAGAAAATAACTGTTACTTTTTATTGAAGAAATCAAAAAAAAGTTGCTCTGTACTAAACAACTTGTAATGACATATTTATTCAATCGATAGAAAAATGCAGATTGTACTTGTTAGGTACTAACAAGATCTTATAAAAAAATTTATTGCTATCGCAAAATAGTCTCGACAAATTTGCCTCATACCCCCAAAATCAATGCGAATTTGGATGATCTGAAATATAGGTGTGATCAGTTCCCAATGGCTCGAACGGGCGGTAACGAAACTAAAAACTCGAACCCCTAAATATATGATATATACCCCTAACCCCTATAATATATTGAAAACTCCAATAAATCCCAAACATGGCTAAAAAAAAGAACATCGCGATATCTGTTATCAGCACATAAATGATATCGCCGCATTACTTTTTGTAGGCCGAATAAAGCAAAAATTTTTTCGAAATTTTGCCAGAACTCCGAAAACGATGAACAAAGCAGACTCTCATTTTTACCAATGACGTATATGCAAAAACTTACCGCGTTGTTAACTCTTGTAATAGATACTTTTTGTGGCATTTCTTCAGAATTAGATTTTCCAATCAATGGAATTGTTAAAGTTTCACCTCCGTTCTGAATTACGGAAACATAAAGAAATATGAAGATATATAACTCCAGTATCTGGATTACGATAGTATATAAAGCAACTGGCTACTTGATTTTATCCGTTCAGAAGTTAGAAATAAAGCAATAAAGCTCAAAATACTAAAATTAATAATAAGACGATAATTATTCTGCTTATTCTTTTCATGTCTAAAAAATCATATTCTTGCCTTCCCAAGAAGTAGCTTCATTTGGTTGTTCTTCAGATTCAGAGCAAACCAAGATTCAGGCCTCTTATTTTTCAACTTAATGACGGAAAACAATAATCCATCAGCAGATTCTTTGAGTGTAAACTGAGCACTAATGCTCTCAATTTCCAGTGCTTCATTTGTATTACTTACAGACGAGTTTGATGAAGAGAGTATTGCCTTCTCAAGTACTCGAGAATCAAAGACTGCGTGGGAGTTATATTTGAGAAGGAATGTATCATACGCCGTATCCCCTATAAAATGTAATTTTCATCAATGCGTGAAAAATAAAATATAAATGTCATTTCTATGATGTGCAATTTGATTGTAAATTTAGTTTTGTATTTCATTTTATGTTGGTTATTTTAGGTTTAAAGTTAGAGGTGTTTGCGTGTAAAATATATTGAGATTAAGTAAAAGAACTCTTCATAACTGTTTTAGTTATTTTAAAAATTCGTTTGCCACGAACAAGTGTGTTGATCGAAAATAAATATTTCTGTGTTTTGTAAGAAAACAAGAGTTATGAACTTACCCATGGCAAAATAAGTTGCAATGCAGAGAAAATTGAATAAATGCATTATTCCGCTACGATCCATCAATTCCTGTGCATGACAAATTCAAGAAATGCAAATACTGTATCTAATCTCATAAAAAGTCTATAGAATAAAATTTTCATTATGGTATTGGCGATAAATTATTATTTTTTGGTGCTCCCGAAGTATGCGAACCAAGATGGCGGACATCGGAACGTAACATGGGTAACAGGTTAGGGTTAGGCGATAATATTTTTCCAATTTTCCTTATTTTAGTCTTATTATCAGTTCGAAGACTAGCCAAGAGCCTCCCGTAGTATTTATACCTAAAATTATGGCCTAACCCTAACCTAGTACACATATTACATTCCGATATCCGCCATCTTGGTTCGCATACTTCGGGAGCCCCATTTTTTTAATGTCTGAAATAATATCTAAAAATAAAATTACTGCCTAATATCTCTGAGTAGAACATTCCTTATGTAACATTTGCCTTATGCCAATATACATTCTGTCAACGACTAATTTAATAAAGCTTTGATATCAAATCCTCACAATTAATTATTTGCCGCCTTCGATTACTTCTACCAAGTATGGTGAATATTAAATTATTATCATTTTCAGTGGATCATACACGGTAAGAGAATATTATTCATATACCCAATGTCGAATAAAATGAAGGATTAACTTCATCCAATTTATAATTTATAAGCCGTATCAAGCGAATGATTTGTAATTAAACTTCTCAATTATTCTTCCAACGGATGTGATTTGAGATTGAAGTCTGGGAGACTGAAAGGGTTTACGTGGTCGGTATAAACTTGTTAACGTTTGTTTTTAGCTCTTACCTGTCACGAATAGCAAAATATATAAATTAAATGTTGCTGGCGTATAATAGAATCGAGTAGGAAAATACGTCCAATTCTAACCAGGATAACAATGGTTTGTGTGGGAATCGACAATGGGCGAACGACCAAAATTTAAAAAAAAACGCCAGTGGTGACTCATATTAAAGGATAGTTGCACATAATCTATCATAAATAATAGTATTATAGTTGGTGGCAAAATTCCTCTATCTTCACCTTTACTCTACAATTTTCCCCACAGTGCTTACATATAATTTCCCTATTTCGCATAATAAATATTGCCAGATATAAAAGCCTCGTCTATTGTTTTACAAACATCCTGATTCAAAATGATCTGGGGTATGATTACCAATGATTTTGTTCACTATTAGCAAATCAATGATATGCTTGTTATCAAATATAGCATGATTATTAGAAAAGTACGACGGAACGCATAACTACAGATTTCCAAATTCTTTCTGTAAGCGCAGGCACACAACAAGGAAAATGAAAACCTCACGCAAATTGAGATGATTCAAATATCTCGGCGAACAAAAAAAAGTGTCTTCGACGAAGTTTATTACGCCGTTGACCCAGAAATCCAACAGAGAGAAAGAACTGCTTCATTGAGTATTTGGCAATAAATGCTAATGAGCGATACTAATTATAGATTGGTGATGTAATAGAATCTTGACCATGTAATGTACAACAATACAAGTGTAATAAACGCAAGGAAATATTCATCGGGGTCATTATGACGTGATTTTTATCGATATTTTCAACTTAAATTTATATTCATATAAACTATAGTCGTAATTGCAGCAGTCACAGGCAGGTGACCGGATTAAACACTTCGATGGGCCGGATCCGGCCCGCGGGCCGAAATTTGCCGACCCCTGATCTACATTAGTAAAATGCCCGGTTCGGGTATGAGACGCAATAAAAACTAAAGCTCATACAAGCAGAATGTACAAGTCACAAACGACCCTTCGAAGCATTTCAATATATGAATGGGTCATAATACCACAAGCAAAATGCGTAGATCGCTTGATATCGGGAGATATAACAATTTGACATGATGATCAAGTTGCAGTAAAGAATAGCGTATTTTATTTCTGTTTCGCAGTATTGTTATGCATTTGTTTTCTCATTGATTTGCTCACGTTGTGCTATGTTTTGTGAATTGTATAGTATTTATTCAAAATAATGTTAGTCCATGTTTTATGGCTTTTTTGACGTCTGATATTTTATTGCGGCCATTTTTAGAATTCGTCAATTTGCTGGGGATAATCAATTATAATGTTTTACGACAAGAATGCAATGAACTTAAAAAGAAAACTGTGATAAAAGCATCAGTTGTAATTTATAGTTTTGCTAAGTTTTCCGCTAAATTCAAACTTGACTTTTTACGCTTTAATTGGCTAATATGGTTGTACATTGATGATTTGATTAGTATATTATTATGCTCATATGTATTATTGTTATCTCAGTGGGGCATCGTCGTCAGCAGGAAAGTTAAATGAATCAACGATCTAAGACGCTTAATATAAGACGCAGTATATCTTTGAAATACATTGGCGTGAATTATATTTTAGGTACGATTTACAGTCATTGCGGAAAGTCACACACGGCAACAGATTAAAGGCGCAGAATTCAAAACTTTTCATCGTAGAAAAGCCGAGCGTAGTCCAAGCGCAAATTTAGTTTGCCTCGCCAAAATTGGTGAAACGTAACAAATATACAAGAGTCCTGAAAATAATTGCAGTAGGACTATACAAGAATTTAATTAAATTAATTCAAACTGAAAAGTAATAGGAATTATATTGATAATTTTTTTGAAAATATTTTAATCATGAATTTTCAAGTGAAAGGTATAACGTATGAGCCACAATGTACGACTTCACATCAGTGTTGAGTACAAGACTTTGAACTCCAGTCGCGAGTCCGGAGGTCTTGAGTTCCAGATAATTTTCAAGTCCGAGACCCGAGTCGTGTCGCTGCACAAGTCAGGTTGAGTCGTCGCTATTTCGAGTCACAAGATTCTAAGTCATAGTATACATTTTATAAACTGAATAATAAATTTGATGAATTGAGTCACTTCGAGTCTCCAGAAAGGGTGAGTAGAGTCTCCCAAACTGCTAGACAATTTCGAAAATGAAGCTAATGAGGATTGGCAACAGACGTGAACCGCTAGATGTCTCAATTGAGTTATCATTTTCGTTATATGTATTGATTAAATATTTTTGATTGTTTTTTTTTCCATCATTTGAATTTTTATATAACTTTCATTGTTTTCAGATAAAGCTGGGAATATCTAATATAGATTTATCAAACATAGGCTGTAAAATGTAATTCTCTCACACATTTATACTGATATTGTTGAAATTTACCAATATTATTCAGTATCTATCGCATAATAATATAGGGGAGCGTTGGTTGCAATTCAATAGAAAATTACTTCTTGGAAATTTGCAGGAAACCAAAATTTAACATGCGAAAATATCAAGTACCCAGTTTTTAAAATTTTATTTATATTGTCAAGAGTAATAAAAGATACAAGAATGACCTGAACTTTAAAAATTACTCAACAAACAAGAGGCTATTTGAATAAATATTAGAAAATTGTTTGTTTATTCCATTATCCATCATTTTTCACGAAGTGGACCTATAGATCGTTTTGTTATTATTACTTATCGATTTTAATCGGTAAATATGTTGATAGGTATTTGTCTGCCTGTCTGTCTGTATGTTAGATGCATGCGATATCTCACGAAAGCGAGATGAAATCTGCTCCAGATTTTGCATGTGCATTCATCATATGTCGGACCAGAAGCCAATTGATTTTGGATGAATTATGTCGTATAATTAGCGAGTTATTAATTAAGTAGTGATTGGACACAAGGTGTCACTATGGAGTAAGAGCGCTTTTTTGCGGGATCCCCTAACTTTCGATCGATAAGTCTTCGGTCTCTGACCGATATTCTCGTTTTGTTATTGTTGATAATTCCTTCTTCTTGTTATGAAAAAAATCGCTTTTCTCACGAACTACAGGACCTATTGCGTTGAAATATTCAGTGGATAAAGATTGTTATTGTTATCGCTAGATGGCTATCACGTTTATTTATTTCAAAAATTTATGCGGGCTTTATGAAATTCGTTTTTAACTAGTTTTGTGTGATGTTCTTTCATCAATATTAGAAAGCGATATATAGGTCCACTTTGTGTCCAAATAAAGCACCCATGGTGTGGCGGGTATGCGATCGCGTTCGCAGGGATCTGGTGGTAAGTTGAATTAGCGAAGACTATACTAGTACTATAAAAAGTCTAATAACGTTGCTACCTCGTTTTGCCTAACGCGGTTCTATACTTAGCATTGCTCTTTTGTTTCTCGAGGGATGGAATTCAAATGACCGAGGCCTTCTCGGTTCACCCCCTGGAAGGCTGTCATAAAAGATGAAAACGGCACTTTAAAAAAACTTGTGAAATCTTCTGGCATTTAATTCTGAAAAACATTCAACTTATTCTATATTCGTGTAAAAAATGCGACATGTTTTTCCTCGTGTTATTAGACAATGGCGAGACACGTTAACCTTGCATACACGTCTGCATCAAATCGCGATTGGTAATGTTGCAGTATCATAGATCTATTATGGAAATTTTTCTTACTTGTTTTTGTAAGGACTATTATCATGATTATTATGTGGTGCGATACGCTCTAGTTTCCGGGAAGTCCAACTGTGATCTTGTCGTTTCTTTGTCTGGCTTTTTAATTATTCATTCCAGAAAGTTCATAACGAAATTTTTAGACGAAAGATACCGGAAACACGCGACTTTCTGAAGTGCTGACCAATAGTACATGACCAATCATACATAAAACTACCATGTTTCAGGACTTAGGTCATTCTTTCTTGCAACAGTATCCAATTATATTGTAATGTCGTTAGGTGTTTCGATAGAAAAGACTCAATCAAATTCAATGATCATGTAATCAAATAAACGTAAAAACCAACGTAAAATAAATAACGGAGTGTACTAGGATATTGTATATTAAACTGCAGGTCCTTTCTCCTATCACCTTTCTACTTCAAATCCGTATGTGGTCGTTGCCACAATGATATCTGAACGAGATAGTAATATAAACATGATTGAGAATAACATAATCTCTTCCATGAATAACAAGTGTATTTGTTAAATTTCCTTAAATCATAGTATAATGTCTTCAGACACTTCAGATTAAAAATACAGTTTATCGTCTGATCATACCGTTTATCTTTA